TTCTCGAAGCCGAGATATCCCTTGTCCCGAAATTGTTCGGCGTGTCGACTTTCTTGACCACACGATGTTCTCGATACGGATGCCGAATTCCGTCGGCGTAGTAGCCGGGTCGTTTGAGACCGTCATTCCAGGCTTCAATGGTGTGGCATTGTAAGTGGATGAAGATAAGTGCATTCCTGGAGCGGGGGTGGAGATGAAGCGATGCACCAATCCGAACACCCATTCCGTGAGGGCCCTCGTGCACGTTCAGATAGTGGCCGACACCATGTCCCGTTCCGTGTCTAGGGGCTGGATAAGATTACAATCTTCAACTGATGGGATCACCAACCGATAATCTAGGCGGGCAGAATTTCGGCCACTGACTACGAAATGATAGGCAGGCTTACCTAGACCGTCTTGCCACAGCGCTCGTCGAGCAAATGCATCTCTACTTTCTTCAGCAACTGGCACTCCCCGCGCGGCAGCACATCACTCACAGAAGATAGCCTGATACACCTCGCATCAGCAAGCTGTGTGCGAAAGTGAGGTAACGCACCGGTTGTCCCGCTCGGAAAGATAGCGGTATCGATCTCAATGTGGCCTTGCAAAACGCGAGTGAACGCGCGCTTTTCTCGGGAGTCGCTGTGCCGAAGTGCTGCGAATACAGGTCACCAAAAGGTATCCGCACGGGATTGGGGACGCACCCAGGTGCGAGTGACGTCAGTGGTTCCATCCAGAAATTGGGCTAGGGTTTTGAATTAGTTACGCTCAAGTTGCGTTAAGCTTCTTACCTCCAGAATCGCAGAGATATATTTCATCGCGTTTGACTTCAGAGCAATCGCCCGGTGTTGGGAAGTAATGAATGATGGCTGAAGGCCAGACTCAATTCCGCGAAGAAAAGAGAGCGAGTCAGACATACCAGCGTTGGAACCGGTGGACGAAATGGTAGGAAAAGACAGCCCTCGGAAAAGGTCCAGCTCACTTGAAGATCAGTTGACCAGAGTATACATTTTTCCCCAGACGTGACTCACGATCTGAATGCCTCCAATTGCTCGGCGACTTGGTTCTCGTCCAGCTTGGCACCGGAATTAAGCTGCTCCTCAAGCCAGGCAAAGTACCTGGCCAATGCTGCACCGTCACGGATATGGCTCTGGCGGAAACCTTCTAGTTCTGTGGCGTTCTTGATGGCTTCATCTCTGCGACGGGCGACAGAGAAAGTGTGTAATTTCCCTAGAGAAAAAAAAAGCAGTTGGTCTGCATGTTTTTGGGAACGGGATTCCCAAACTGACCTCACCAACAGCTTGAGCTACCGCCAAACTCGACTTGTCGCCAAGGAGAACTTTATCACCCAATCCTTTCAGGTAGGACCAGATCTCGTCGTAGTCCTTGACCTCAACTTCGCTTCCTAAACTATTCTTCACGTCCTCATTCAGCTGATCGTTGTTGACGAAGAGGACGGCTTTGTCAGTAGTCACAACTGCATAGGCGAAAAAGACGGGGTTGAATGCAATGTCGGTTCCGCGAAGGTTGAATAACCACGCCACTTCGTCCAGCATCGTGACGACCATGGCAGTTGCAGACTTGGTCGCCAACTCGGCCCGGAGACGTGCCAACTTGGATATATGCGATTCACCTGGAGGAGAATGAGAATAAGTAGAAGGAGCGTCCTTGGTGGAATGACTGGCCGGAATATTTGACATCCAGGACGTGTATCTGACTCTTGGGCCGTGAAGGCCGGTCTCCAGCCCAGACTGTGTCTACCGGATTCTTGGGCAGGGAAACAAGTGAAGAGCCCCGCGTGTCGAGAGACTTGGTAAGAGATTCCGCGTCGGCTGTAGAGGTTCAGGACGGTTTACGGAAGGACTGGCCACATACAAGCCGAGATCAGGGTAGAATCGATACCGATGTTCGAACCGTCACCGAGATTCTGCAGTGCTCGGATAAATGATTGGAAATGTTGTATAATAATTTTACCCACTTTGGAAAGAAATTCTTGCCACGTAGGAACATCTAGTATCGCTCGCCATTCAATGTCAATTCTGCACACAACTCGGATGCTCTTACCAGGGAGGCCTTGCTTCATCAGCGTCCAGTTGCTGGTATCGAATGAGTACAAAGATAACGAATAGAAACAACATACGCATCCAGCTGCTGCTCAGCTTGCAGGAAATACCGTCCGTCCGTGAACAAATACGCGTCTTTTTTGGTCACGATGGCACATCCTACGTGGCAGTCAGACGCGAATAGCATGTGCTTTCAGACTCAATTCACCAGCCGATCCATTGAACCCAGAAATAAACGCTCTCCGCTCGTCGCACGAAGCCAGATACTCGCTGAAGTCTGCAAAAGCACGTGCCAGCCAAATCAATCCAGGAAGCCCCTCGCTATCGATATCGATCGAAACGCACGCTGGTCCTCGCTGGGTACGACAAACGCATCCACGCCCTCTTGCGCCAGGTACGTGCGCAGCGTACTGAGGCGCTCCGTGGTCGGGATCTTCTGTACAGTCATGGAGATGCTGCGTGTCGCTCGTGGTCCTGGGGGCAGGTGGGAAGCAGTCAGGGGGGATAGAGGGGGGTGATGCAGACTGTTGGAGGCGATCCGGAGCCCTTGTAGCCGGTGTGAAGCTAACTTTCGCAAGATTGCGAGCATGTGCCAGTTAGCAGACGAAGTTTCACGTGACAATCACGCTTAGCAGGGATACTCGGGGATGACCTCATCCAATGTGAATGCTTTATCATCCGAGTTGGAAATATGATTCAGTACCTTGTGCTTCTTGGGCTCTCACAGTACTATGTCGGATCCAGGCTCCTCATTACCACCGTTTGAGCCATCGTCCTTCAAGTACACCCAGCCACCAGACGCCGAATTCACCTTCGGGCAAAAGGCCGCGTCTACGGAGGGCGGACGACAATGGGCAGAGCAAGAGAAGCTTGGATGGGAGACTATCGACGCGCGCACAACCGATCCTAGGCGAGTGATATCTGCCTCGGTCCTCTCTCGCTCACTCAACCTCTATCAGAGAGGTATACAAGATGACGATTTCGGGTATCGCTCCCCGACCTATCGCGTTCGTGTCCACAGAGAACGAGAGCGGAGTGGGAAACATTGCACCGTTCAGGTAATGCTGAATACCGATACGGGCATCCGCAGCCGAGAAACGTACCCGTGCTAATCCTTGTTCCGCAGCTTCTTCAATCAGGTCTCGTACAACCCCACCGTGATCTCCTTCGCGTCCACGGGCGGAGCCAACAAATTCAAAGACACCGTGAACAACATCCGCGCGACGAAGGAATTCACGGTCAGTCTCATCAGCGAGCCATGGATCGCGCAGGCCAACGCCGCTTCGATCGACGCGCCTCCGGATGTGAGCGAGTGGGATATCGCCGGATTGACCAGGGAGCCTAGTGTGAGCTATGCCGTCGTTTTTGTCTGCGCCACCAAGTCAACTCATTTCCCTAGACGTCGGTGAAACCGCCCCGCATCAAGGAATCCGCGTTTAGCCTCGAATGCGAGGTCAGCAGCACGCCGTTGCAGTCCTTCAGACCCTGTTTCTAATCTGTGGATAGCTGCTCCAAATCGTCGAAATCAAAAACGATGCGGGGGAAGTGCGCTCCAGTTTGGTGCTCGGCACCGTCAAGTTGGTCCACGTCAGAAAAGCCGTACTCAACGAGGCGGGGACAGCGATCGACCCGGCCAAATATATGGCCGTGAGCCGTCTCGGCGACACGACCTATGCTTTGGTTGGGAATGGATTCAGGATGCCACGACCGGTTTGGAACAAGGTCGAGGTCGATGCGAGAAAGGCTGCCGGCACCTCCTGAGCCACCGCGCTTTCCTAACATGAATAGATGGCTAGTTTCTGCACTGTATACATACATACATAAATTTGGTTGTTGAGAACCCGGAACACGTTCCACACATACAGCTAATGGGTTTTGAAGTACTCAGGGAGGACATAGCCGAGACCACGGTGAGGGAACTCGGCGGGGCTGCGCATGAGTGCGAACTTCATACATCCAACCTCCTCGCTCAAGAGGCTCTCGTCCTCGGCACCGGCGACGAGCAGACGCTCGATGACATGGGCCGCAACGTATCGGGACGTCTCTGCGTTTTGTTGGAGGATCTTGCCCACCTCAGCCGCGGTCACACCCGCTTCGTGAGGGCGCCATGCATCGTAGTCGGTCGATGTGGCGATCAGAGCGAAGCTGTATCGCATCTCAGAGCACGTCGGAGGGACAATTCGGATGCACCACATACCTGATCTCTGCCTCTCGCGCAAGCTTGGCCTCGGGCAGGGCAGTCATGCCGATGAGATCGCCTCCCCATTGACGGTACATCAGGCTCTCGGCGCGGGTCGAGAACTGCGGGCCCTCCATCACGACGAGCGTCTTGCCCGTCCAGAGCTTGACGCCGCGTCCCTCCTCCTTCAGCGCCTCAGCGACCGCGCCCTCGAGCCACTTGGACAGCTTGAGCGAGTACGGGTCGCTGAATCCGACATGCGCCACGAAGCCCGTTCCGTCGAAGAAGGACGTCGCGCGGATGCCCTTGGTCCGGTCGATCAGCTGCGAGGGAAGGACGAAGTCGCCCGGCGCGATCTCCTCGCGCAGGGAGCCGACGGCGGAGAACGCGACGATCGTGCGGACGCCGAGCGACTTGAGCGCAGCGATGTTGGCGCGTGCGGGGATGTCCGTTGGGGAGATAGAGTGGTCGACGCCGTGACGCGCGACGAAAGCCACGAGCGCACCGGAGGGGAGGGAGGAGATGGCTATGGGAGACGAAGGGAAACCCCAGGGCTGTACGAGAAAGGTCCCTTAGTGAGTAGATCATGCAGTTCTGTGAGGAGACGTGCCGTCTCTGGGTTGACATGCTTGCTGCATGCCCCGTCAGCCGCGTAGATATGAATTATTATCTTTGACACTTACATGAAAGTCAAGTTCCCGAGGTTGTACAACCCGCTGCCACCGATGACACCGACCAAAACTGCAAGAAGAATTAGCTGGGTACGTCGTCAGACGTATAGAGAAGGCACATGCCTTTATCGCTCGACATCGTGGAGGTAGAGGAAGGAATGTGTTTGCCAGAGTTTGGACCGCACGTTTATCGACCATCACTTCTGTGGCTGACATCTACGATCTCGAAAACGTCGCCAGTCTGTCCAACTTGTTCGCTTTGACGTCCCATGAACCAGTGGTACTGATTCAAGCGCATGGAGCTCCAGGCTTCGATCTGATCCAGCGCTGCGAACTTTTTCGGATCTCCAAGCCGCAGTGTGAATAGATGGCCTGCCGTAACCAATCTTATCTAATCTTTGCATGCAAGACTAGGAGACCGGCGTTCCGTTTGTAGCATTTATTCTCCTGAACTCCTTCGATTGAACACTCTTATACACAGAATACATCAGATTACTGGATTTCAGCTGGCAGGATCCACGATCTCCTAGGTCGAAGTCCAGGTCACCGCACTCGCGTCCTCGAAGATCTTGGTGTCCGTAGATCCAAGCGTCAAGTTGGGATCCAGGTAGGCTGTATACAGTCATCAGAATCAAAAACTTAAATTTCATGTGTCCAATTTTACTCACGGACGAACTGAACGAACAATCAATTCGGATTGTGAGCGTTTGCAAGACGAGTCGTCAGGTATCACTCACGTAAGCGGTAAAGTCGATCTCGTTTCTGTTCCTGTAGAAGACGACACGATCGTTATTGTAATTGGCACACGTTCCCGACTTGACGGTGTTCATATCCTTGAAATACAAAAGCCCGGAAAGGTAATCTATGAGGAACCATCATCAGTTCGGAGTGCACCAGGTCCTCGTCATTGATGGTCCACTCACTGACGGACTTGGGGTTGAACGATTGCGTTCCCGTGTGAATAACCGCCTTGAGATTGACCGAGTCGACGGTGAAGGTGATCTTGGACTCGTCGGCAAGCTTGCGCACAGTCGTTGTCGCGACGCCAATCTTGAGTAAGGTCCACTTGCCCTGGCAGGTCGACTTCTTATCGATACCTGTGTTGGTCACCGTTTGTTGCTGCCAAACTATCAGAAGTCCGCTGACAGAACATACTCGAGATCTGCTTACAGGATCATATGCCAGGAACTGCCAAAGTCAAACATCAGATCACGTGTTCAGTCAGATCGAAATAACGAACCTCGGCATGGGGATTCTCCACGTTTTCGCGGTAGAAGCGGACCCAAGCGCACCACTTGCTGTCAGCTTCGTTATAGTATTGCTCGGCCTTGTAGTAAACGGGGTCCGAGTCCTTGATATCGAACGAATCGGCCGTGTCATAGAACACAGTGCCGGCAGGGTCTGTGCAGTGGGATCAGCATGGAGCGGGCGGGGCCGACTTTGTGTGCACCCACCGGTACCGATGTAAAGTCCGTCAGTGAACTCGCGTCCCAGCTCGGGAACCTCGAGGCGCATCGCCGGGCTCATCCCGCTCGCTTTGAAGAACAGAGCCTCCGCGTTGCTGGAGCCCGCCCATTTCGATCGCAGCTGAGAGAACTTGTCGGTCATCCTGTTTATCTGGAGATGTTGAGAAAATTGAGGGCACGGACACTGGCTTTATACTATGGTGAGTCAAAGCGATCTTCGGAATCTCGCGCTGGAATGAATGATGAATGCAAGAGTATTCACCGGATTCCAAAATGGGAACCCGCAACTTCATGTTTGCGGATTCTAGAATAGGCTAGTCGTGCTCAAGTGACCATGGAACCACGTCAGACACGGCACCGAAGTTGTCCGATGCAGAGACTGTTGAACCCTCATTGCCGTTTATAGACCACGCACCACGCTAAGAATCGTCCGCGAGATTGGTTTGGGGCTCATCCAGCCAGCTTCTAAGAGGTTTTGCTTAGCCCGGCCCCAGAAAGATCCGGATATCAGTCTGCGCAGCTCACCCATGCGGCCCACGTTCCTGATATCTGTCGCTATTTGAAGCGAGTCATACAAAATCGTGGTGACACTTGTCTGCCAAAACTCATTGAATTCATTACGATCAAACTTCATTGAATGCATTACTCGTTACGCCAAACTACTCGACCCGCTGCTATTCGATTTACTGGATGTTTTCCCATGAGATCTGCTGGAAGTGCAGGGTTCTCAGCGACGCGAGATCGTTTCCAGGCATTTCATAGGCTAAAGGAATACCGGTCAGCGTAAGTCATGAGCGCAGAGCGGAACTCATTCACGGATAAACTGTGCGGTAGACCATTTATCAGAGGTTGCCTTTCGGGTAGTAGTAAGAGGGAGAACTCACATATCCAACGATGTGGGACGAGCCCCGGTCTTTGTAGAACACAATGCGCCGATCGTCGTACGCAGCGTAAGCGCCGCTGAAGACAGCCTTGAGGTCAGTGAAGTAGAACGTTCCGCCTGCGTAATCTGCGAGGCCGACATCCATCAATTTCGGCTCTCAAAGACGAATCTCCGTCGACTTACTGACGGATTGATGCGCGAGGGGATTGTCATCGGGCACGGGGATAATTGCGCGCACATTCAGCGTCCGGAGCGTGAATCTCAAGGAGTGCACGTCCGCTAGTTTGCGCACTTCGCCCGGAACACTGCCGACGTCGAGGCGGTCCCAGGTGCCGCTGCGAGTGATCCTGTCCATTCCGGTCGACTCGGCGGTGTTGTCCTGTGCATCGTCGGTGAGTGTAAGCGAGAAGAAAGGGTGCTGGTCAACGAACCGGATCGGGGCCAAAGAACTGAATGAGCGAGCTAGTGAGAACACGTAGAAAGAGGGCAGACGAGCGCACCTCTGCATGGCACTGGTCGATATCTTCGGTGAAGAACCGGATCCACACATGCGCAGAGCGTTCGAGCGGGGCGATGTAGCGTTCGATGTAGTACGACACCTCATCCCGCTGCTCCAAGCTGTCGAATGCGTTGAAGTAGAGTTGGCCCTCGAGGTCTGGAAACATTGAGCTTTCCGGTGGCGGGGGGAAATCGACGGACCCACTCTTGCCCATCTTGACGAAGTCGGTAAACTCACGACCGAGCATGGACACTTCCATGCGCATCCCTTGGTCGATGAACTTGGGGTGGTGGAGTCCTTGGTCGCCAAGCGATGTCTGCTCGCGGTCGTAAGGGATACGGGTCCCGGCGAGGAGGATTTGCGCAACCGCGCTGTAGCTGTAAGCTTTGCTCAGAATCGGAGGGTGCTCAGTTCGCGACATGATGGGTGGCTTGGCGCACATCCCTCCCGTAAAGTTATAAGAAAGAACTTTTGCAGAATCGGGTGTGCCGGACAGGTCCACTTCCATAATCCCGGATTCCATACTCGGCAAGATTTACCGCCGATTTGGACCATGCATCCTGTCTGCATGTCAACAGGAGTACGCCAAACTAGAGATACTGGAATAGAGTCTCATTGGGGACAATCAAAGCGGACAAACCTTGTTTATGACAGCCAGCATGGAAGGTCCAGCATGTGTTCAAGTTAGCGAGAAACTACGGATCCAGTTGAAATCAGACTGTGTAAGTGGCTTACCCCGCCTGTCGGAGTCTGAATCTGGCTGATCGGGCTTGGGTTGTGTGACTTGGGCTTGTGCATCACTTTTGATGACAAAACCGTGGACCGTATCGCGTCATGAATAATTAATTGCCCATTACCTATAATTACTTATCTTACTAAACAGGAATCACCGTTCACCCGTTCTTTCCATCACATTTCAGCTACCTACATACAGTCTATACACAGGACTTCGCAGTACACAGAAAATATCGATTTTCATTCGACTTACAGCTTCGACAAAATTGTGTCGCGGACTCGTGCCAACCGCCTCATTACCAATTGGCGTGTACTGTATCAACGTCGTCAAAAGTGACCTTGCTGGCGGCTGCGCACTCGAAGGCTCCGAACTTGCGATGGGTATTTCAGCTTTACCTTTGATAAAAGAATATTGTAAAGACTCCGTACATACAATTCTCATCCTCCATGCCCGTGAATCCAACTTGATCACCGCATCTTGTTCCTTTGCACCAATCTTTGTCGAAAATCAGAAAATACTTGTTAGCAAACGAATCAATTGGTCTTGATTGGCAAGCCGGCTTTTTGGCTTGCAAGCCTGATGGCATTAAGCACTCGCTCTCGCACTCCGGCTCTACTCTATCGGATCTACAATATCCAAGCAAATCCCATCACAAGCCAAAAAAAAAAAGACACTTAGCGCGGGCACAAGCCACTTCGGCAAGCCAAAACTGACACTGTCAGTTGAAATGGCTCTGCCCCACTTTAAGCAGCCTATGGACAGCCACCGCGCTTGAACCTCACCCATTGTCATCGAGTCCAAGCGCGTTATTGCATTGGAGCCACGGACACTCTGAGCCGCGCTTTGGATTTCTTCTCAGCAATAAAACCGCACGAAAAAATGAGACTCTCTTCTCCAAACTCGCCCTGCATCCGAGTCGCTGTCGGCCATGCCCAGTCCCTCGCTGCGATCGCCCAACGCGTTCATCCTGTTCCGCTCGTTCTTCTCCAAGAACCACTCGCCGCCCAATGCAGCCCAAGCGCACGTCAGCGCGCTCGCAGGCCAGGCTTGGCGTGGTCTCGCCGACGCAGAGCGTGCTGTGTGGCAGGAGCGCGCCGCAGAGCTCAAGCGGGCGTGGATGCGGGCGTCGGAGAAGCGTGCATTGGAAGAGGGCGCCGAGCCTCTCCCGAGGAAGAGAGGGCACCACCATCCTAGCCAGCACCCGCCCGCTGTGCAGCGGCTGGACCATTCCGCTGGCCCATCCGTCTCTGAGGGTCGATTCGATGATACTGCTCGTAGAAATGCTCCGGTTCCTGGGATTTATACTCTGGTGCGTGGATTCAGAGTGTTCTAAGTAGATCAAATGGGTCTCATGACATGTCGCAGGCGGACCATGCTGCCCTTCCGGCTCCGACGCCAGAGCTCCTGTTGGCGAATTATTATCGGTCCCAAGAGTTTTCCGAGTGCTGGAACAGCTTCGTGAATGAGTTTTGTAACGCCACCCATGTGGATCACCAGGATCAAGAGTCGTCGCCAGATATCCTGGACTACAATGCCCTCTGCGACTGGACTGCGGACTATCATGGCCCGCCATCTAGGTCTGAGCAGCAGCGCACCACTTCGGGTGTGCAGTCTGGGGATCGCCGCTATGCGCCGTACTAGACCTTGTCAACGGTTCGAATGAAGATAAGATAAGATGCATGATGTAATGTAATGTTGAACAAACACAACCAAATGATTTCGGACCCCTACCCCAAGTTCTCAGTTCGCGTCTCTCTGCAAGCAGTGGCATCCCCTCTATGACCATCGCTCGCAATGAATCTTCGTGTCATTGTCGAGCCAATTCAGAAACTCAAGCTGTCATGCAGCGAAGTGGGGCCCTCGGGCCATTGTTCCCGAGAACAATAAGGTCGAGTCAGGGAAAGCCATCTCGACCATAGCGTGCGCGCATGGGCCTCTGAGATGACTGCGCATGGCACACCGTCGCCGACGTCGCTCTCTGCCTCTCTCTTTCTCCCCACCACCGCTGTTGCGCAGATATGCTGCTGCCCCGTCTCCCCGTCTTGTTAACCGCCAGCATCCGACGTGAGTAACATATGCTTTGTATATGGAATCTGTTGAGCAGTTGCCTCATGTGTATCTGTCTAGTTACGTCGAACTATACGGGTAATGCTCCGGTTGTAGTTTGTGACGCTGGGCAATGTTTGCAAGGGTATTCTAACACGACCAGTGAGCGATTGTCACTATTCACCACAAGAGAACCACCCTGAACCAATCTTGCATAGTCGGCGTCACACTCTCGGTCCCGGGATCCCCTGCGATTCGCTTGCTTCCAGGCCAATACACGTCGACCTCGAATCCACAACTACTGCATAACGCACTTACATCATCTTCGGTGTCGCTTTCGCCTTCTCCAGGCTTCGACTCCAACGCGACAATCCTATCGCTTCCACTCAATGTTTTGGAGCAGCCGGGACTCACGACGTACACTGCTGCCCTGTATTCGGGGGCCAATGATCCCTCCGCCTTCACACCAATTCCTTCCGCGCCTATTCCAAACTCCTCATCTCTTGTCTTCCAGTCGCTCTCCCTATCTCTGAACACCTGGATCGCAGTCAACGCGTCATCCAACCCCCGCTTGATCGTATGGGACTCGGTTCCCGACATCTCGCAGCTTCCAAGCGTCCCTGCCAACATGCGGCTGCTCTCGCTCGAATCATCGACTTGCTCGCCGTCTTGCGCGTCCTCGGGCATCTGCACATCCTCGGGCGTGTGTGCTTGTCTCCCGGGCTTCGTCGGCGCGGCGTGCGAGAAGTGCGGTGCAGGTCTGTTCGGGCCGCGGTGCAACCAGACGTGTCCCGCCGGATGCGCGAAATGCGATGACGGACTCGGCGGATCGGGGCGCTGCCTTGACTCTGGTGTCACCCCGGGCGCGTGCGGTTGCGTCAACGGCGCGTGTAATCCCGATGGGAGCTGTGCTTGTACGACTGGCTTCGTTAGCGCGGGGAACGGCACGAAATGTGCGCAGTGTGCAGGGGGGTTCTTTTTGACCCCGGCGGGTGATTGCTCTAGTGCGTCTTCTTGCATTTCAGCACTTGCTGATCTCGCTGATTTGGGTCTTCAGTCTGTGCCATCGGATGCTCTGCGTGTGCTGATCGCACGGGAACGTGCACGGCATGCAAGACTGGGTTCGCTCCAGACGCCAATGATGCGACCAAATGCGATCCCGTCCCGAGTGTGACTTCTGCAAACGTGGTGTGTCCCGACGGGGCATTTGCAAGTGGGGCCAGCTGTGTCCCGTGCTCTTCTGCGTGCAGAACGTGCACTGCCGGCGGATCGATTGATTGCGTGCGCTGTGCGACTGGGACGTATCTGCTCAACGGAACTTGTGTCTCGGCCGATGCGAACGGAGTATGCAAAGGCTCGAGCATGATCGCCAATAACAACAAGCTCGAATGTGACGGTACGTGAGCTGTTCTGGATCGACGACCAGGTCTTATTAGTGTCTGTGAAGCGTGTGGGGCAAAATGCACCTCTTGTAAAATCCCTGGTTTCAATTCGGCATCGACGATCAATGAACTGCAGTGCACAAGCTGTGTAACCGGTTTCGCTGTGTCAAATGGCACATGCGTTTCGAGCTGTCCATCGAGAACATTCCCACTCAACGGGACTTGTACTGGTGCGGGAAACTTATCCCTACCTGGCGCATACTTACACATCATGGCTTGACAGCATGCGACTCTTCGTGCTCGACCTGTGCTGGATCCTCGTCCTTCTGCTTATCCTGCCATTCGAACCAGCTAGCACTGAGCGGCCAGTGCATCAGCACCTGCCCTCCGAACACCTTCCTCGGGACAAGCAACGCATCGTGCTCGGCTTGTCATCCAGATTGTGCAGCCTGCTCTGGTCCGGCATTCGACCAGTGTACATCCTGCTCTCCGTCTTCCTCACGGCCTGTCTTGAAGAGCGGCAGGTGTCTCCCAACCTGCAGCAAGACCGAGTTCTTCGACATAACCTCGTCTACCTGCCATGCATGCGATGGAAGCTGCTCGAGTTGTTTAGGGTCCGGTCCAGGACAGTGTCTCGCCTGTGCGGATCCGAGCCAAGTGCTCAGGGCCGGAAGCTGCGTAGCGGCTGGATGCGCTGCTGTGGTGAGCGGTCTTGGTGCATGCCTGTCGGAGCTGGTCGATGTGCCGAGCGTGACGTCGGGGTCTCCGCTGCCCAGTGCATCAGGCATTGACGCACCAACTACTGGGACGGCCAATACGACAAGGCGGAGGCTCGCTTGGTGGGAGATCCTGCTGATGGTGCTGGGATGCGTGTTTATTCTCGTCATGGTGCTTTGGTTGCTGCGGAGACGAGCGAAGAATGCACGGGCAAAGAATGCACACAGAGACAAGCCGAACGGCCTATGTGGGCGTCTTTGCGACACTTTCCGATCTTGCCTGCGGAAAAGCCGGTCGCGGCCGGTCTACGAGCTCCGTTTGGACTCGACGCGCAAGGGTGCTGATGCGTCTCGACCGCCTATCATGCACCCCCATCTGCAACATCCAAGTCGATTGAGTGTCGAGTCGGCGCCTTCCATCTATTCTCAAATGACTAGCTACACCGCTCAAGCTGCACAGCCTCGGCAGCCGGTGAGGGCTGACAGGAAGTTTTCGGTGGCTGGCACCAGTCTCGTCGATCCATACTATCATACGACTGCCCCGTATATGGCACACAAGCCCACTACCAGGCTAACAGGGGAATAGCTTCCAGATGACTGTGACTTGTAATCTATATTATCAGCTTTCGAACAACTTTAACTTCCTCGCTCTATAATACTGAATCTCAATACATTGTAACCTTAATGACCAGAATCTTGGGATGCAAACTTCAATTATGTAGCGACTGCTGCATCGACCGTGACGAGCGTATGACATGACACGCACGTGGCACGAATTTGCCTCCCACGTGATCGCTCTCCCTCTTCGCGTCTGCAAACACCTCAGACCGTGGTCATGCCTGCAGGGGCGTCCCTCGCGGCGTTCATCGTCACGACACTGGCTTTAGTAGTCCCATGGTACTACTTCGTATTAGGCAAACGGCCCATATCCACGGCCCCGCGCCTCACGCTATTAACCAACATCTTCGTCCTTCTCCACTCGCTGTACTACATCTACCAACTCATCGTCTGCCCTCCGACCAACATATTCAAGAGCCTCAGGCTTCCCTTGGCAACTCCTGTGGATGTGATGCGGAGCATCTTGTTGCGGCAGTCAGACACGGGGGAGTTGCCTGCCCAGCTCGAAACGCTCTTGAAGCATCTGGGATCGTTCGACGTCAAGACCTTCTATGTCCGGTCCGTCGGATATGTATCACCTCCCCCGTTTGTGCTGAATAGACGTAGATTCGGCCACGAGGTCGTGTCGGCGTGCGACTATTGCCGGACATTCGACGAGTTCGCGCTGTTTGCGCTGCCCAAGATCCTAGCGGTGTATATCTACGCCGCAGCTACTATCGGGGTACGTATTTCGATGGGCAGCTCAGCTGAGATAAAATCTCATCCAATGCAGATCGTCACCATTGTCGGATCCGGCCACGAACGATTCCGCACGCTCGCAGTCTCTGTCATAGGCGGCGCGTTCTGTTTCGAGATCTACTACATTGCCACGGTGGCTGTCGAGTTCCCGAAGGACGAGCGGACGAGCGTCGTCTGGGTACGTGCCGCCCACCACCGGTCCCCGGTCCGTGCTAACGCGCCTGACCTGACACCCAGTGGCACGACAGACTGCTCCTCCTCCGGCGCCTGCTCTTCCTCGCTCTCCCGCCCCTGATCTCCGCCCTGCCGCGCGTCCACACCGCGATCGCGCTCAGCCCGACAGCGACCGCCCTGCGCACCGCGGAGCTCGCGTTCACGCGCATGAAGCTGCTGCGCCTGACGCGCGGCGCGATCATGCGCGCGCCCCTCCTGCGCGCGCGCGCCGATGCGTGGTGGGCGGCGCAGGCGCAGGAGGGCACGTGGGTCCGCGAGGACGCCGCCGTGCAGGACATGGCGCGGCGGCTGGGCACCGGGTTCGGTGACGAGGACGAGGACGAGGACGATGGGTCGGGCTCGGAGAGCGGGGGTGCTGGCCCGCTGCGCGCTAAGGCGCAGGAGTCGGTCGCCTCGCTGGCTGCTGGGTATGCTCCCAGCGAGTTCTGGAGGATGGCTCCGTCGTGAGCTATCGACTGTACTGTAGTAATACCGTTATTGTACTCGCCCGCACCGTTTCTTTGCGTATATTACAGTAAGCGAGTGAGCCGATCCGTCATCAGAATACACGTGCGGCGGAGAATACATACTCCCTGCGCGCTCTTTGCATGCTGACTCATGAGGTGTTTATCGAATGCGGTATATTTCGGAGAGGGATCCTATTCAGGGCGGTATTTGGTGGAGGCGTGACAACAGCGGTCAATAATGGAGCAGACGTGCTCGATATATAAGAGAGCTGCAGAGACAAGCACTTCCCCAGTCCATCCAGATCCAATCCAATCCAATCCAAACCAGATCGCGCACCAACCTTACAATGCCCGCTGTGCGCGACCCGCGTTGCTCTCCCGAGCAGCTCGCGCTGACCGCCCTTTGCAGACCATCACCCAAACTCCCGCTTGCCAGAACTGCGGCGATGCCCAGTGCGCCTGCGCCTCGTGCGTCCCTCCCTCCCTCTAATTTCTAATCTCGATGTCGCTCAGCGCTGACGATGAGCCTTGCTACGTAGGTGCGCGTGCGAGGCAGGCAGCTGCGAGTGCGCTGCGGGGGGATGCAAGTGCTGAGGTGCTCCGCCAGACGTGAACGCGCCACTTGCCCCATCTCTGAACTTTGGGAGTCCTGGAAGGAGAAGGATCGTGCAGTTTGACTACATGTATGCAGGGAAGGTCTCAGTGTCAAAGTTCACGATATCCCAATTTAAAGCTTAGATGCTTGTGAGGAATTTTGGAGCAGACTTGTACGGATGCAGAAATCGCTCGTTAGAGAGTCGCTTCCAAGACCAGCATTGAATTTGCCTTCACGTGCAAGTTATCCGCGCGTCACGTGCCAAATCTCCCAATCGCGGTGTTTCCATCCTCCACCACACGGAATTCAGTCGCTTGCTTGTCGGCAGGTACATTCAAGGCTATATGTGGCGCAGTATTCTGTGACAGGATCCTCACCGAGCGAAATTCCTCACACCTCCAAATCGTCCCTCACAATGGACACTGCATCCTCATATCCGCGGGACGGAGCTCGGTGCAGCCCATATGCAGGACTGCGGACTAGCTTCAAACATGAGCGGTATTGTTCTTTTCAGCTGTGGATTGCCTGCCCTGGCTGCTCCCGTCGAGATGATGAAGTTTCGCCAGAGAGCAGAGGCGAGCAACTGGGGGGTCTGACCCTTCTACAGTAATCTGTTCTCTGGCGCAGGAAACCACCTACCCGCGTTCGAGATTGTAATCGCAACCCATGCCGTATAAGAACCATCGTGGAACGGCTCTGAGGGCTACATCGGTCTGACATGCGCTCCATCCTCAGCCTCTTCTTCACTATCACTCTTCTGTCGGCCTCGGCTCCCACCGCTCACGGCCTGGACCTGTTTCCGTTCTTCAATGCCGTGATATTCTCCGCCGGAGTCTCCGGGACGGAAACTATCGGGAACGGTAACTACACCAAGTTTGGCCGCGTCCTCGTCGCGCCACGCGGGGCCAGAGACTCGAAGAACGCCCCGCAGGCGGTGTATGTGTCGACCGACCAGACCGCGCAGCCGATGGCGGCTGCGGCGGTAGCCCTTTCCGACATGCTCGTGAGCCGCGAGCCTGCTGCTCAGCCCGGGGTCTGCAGTTCGCTCATGTTCTGCGCAGTGGACCATCCACTATGCGCCTGATGTCGTCACGGACGAGGAGAAGTACATATTGAATTGCAATCCCTCCGCGAAGCAGCTGCTGGTCCTGGTAATGGTGTCCTTGGATTCTCCGGCCGAGTTTGCTCCTGAGCCTTGTCCTGTAGTCGCAGAACGACACTGCCTTGCAAGTCAGTGCGGTAAGACGGGATGCTGTCCAAGACCCGGCTTCGGTGTACACGTTCAGCATCAGACCTCGCCGAGTCATTCACCCGGGTCCTCCAAGACCATATATCCCGGACATCTACTACTCGGCGAGTGCTCTCGTCCCTCTATTGCACAACGCCACTTGATCTGACCGACTTCGATCATACAGTTCTGCGCCGATCACACCGACCTGTCGTGCTGGACTGTCGACGACCAGGGCCAGGTGTGTACCAACACGGTTGTGCGATCCCGTTTGATCATCTGCTGCTCTTTAGATATCGCTCAGCGCGCTCACCACGGCGCCGACCATTCCGGACAACCAGCTGTTTTTGATGTCAATGTATCCCGCGCTTGACTCGGACCCCAGCCACGAAGAAGGCACCGCACTCGCGGACACAAAGGGCGCTTTCGCTGACCTCTTTGGTCCTGGGAGCCCCGGGAGCAAGAAGCCCCGGGCCGCTTTCCCCGGTGCTTGAGCATCCGTCACAACCTGCGATGTACTGCAATCCTCGCTTTGGGGCAAATGGTTGGCAGGAGTGACTGGAGACAGCTTCGCTGCAACATTCCGACACGATTTTTTGCCGCGGTTACTACTTTTGGTTTATTGTATCTTTGTCTCTATTCTGACTCGTGTGATGCACTGTGCTTGCGCCTCCGTGACTTCAGCGTGGGATCGATGCTACGATGCTGAACAAATGCATGATTAGTAAGAGAGAGGGCTGAAAGTCATGACCCTCATCTTGGAGGTCTTGCCACATTGCAGATTCTGAGAGCGTCTGTCTGTTAGGTTGAAAGTTCTCTCTCGGTGAGCTATGAAGGATGACACCGTCGTGAGCTACGTACAGGAGGGTGGGTAGTACCATTGATGTACTCGCCGACATCGTTTCCTCGCACATGCATACAATAAGCCTTTCATTGAAATACACGTGCGGCGATGGATGCTCCCCAGCCTGCATGCTCCTTGCACGCTGACTCATGAGGTGTTTATTGAATGCGGCATATCTTGGAGACTGATCCCATTCTGTGCGCTACTTTGCGGAGGCGTGACAACAGCGGTCAATAATGGAGCAGAGGCGCTCACCATGTAAGAGAGCCGCATAGACAACCATCTCCCCAGTTCACCCAGATCCAATCCAATCCAGCCAAATTCAGATCTTCATCCAGCTTACAATGATCGCTGTGCGTGACCCCCCTCACTCTCCTGAGCAGCTCGCACTGACCACCCCGTTCCAGATCATCACCCAGACTCCCGCTTTCCAGAACTGCGGCGATGCCCAATGCAGCTGTGCCTCGTACGCCACCACTTTCCCATTCTAAATTCAAACTTCAATGTCTCTGACGATGGGACTTGCTAGGTGCACTTGCGAGGCTGGCAACTGCGAGTGCGCTTCGGAGGAATGCAAGTGCTGAGGTGCTCCCTCAGCCAATTGCCGAATGTCTGAAACCGAAACTGGGAAGTCGTCGAAGTGGAGGATTTTAGTGTAATGTGAATATATGTTGGCAAGAATTCTACAACATCCTGCTGACTTGAAGCTGAACTTATCGGTGGGGGCGTTTTGAAGAGGCCTTTACGGACACCGAAGAGACTGAGACTTCATTGTAGATGACATCCATAGCTTTCAGCATGTGATCGACACGAAGAAAAAGAAATATCGAACAAATGTATAAATAGTCAGAACAACAAGCTAAAAGTCATAGCCCTCCACCTTGAAGGTCTTTCCATACTGCAAATAGCTATCCATAATTTTCAGAATCGGCTCTGGCAGACCCATGCTGAGCAGCGTATACGAAATCTTGGCGTGCCCATGCAGCTGTCCAAGCTTGAAAAAGCACCGCGCAATCTGGGTCGGGTACTAGACGAAAAGCAAAATTAGCCAAGGGAGATGCTTCACGCATGACAAGCCGAGCCACGCACGGTCATCTCGGTATACTCGGCGTACTGATAGGCAGCTACGCGAATCGCTGTCTGGATGCAGCGCTGGATGTCGCCTTCCTCGGCATACATCTCCATCAGCTTTCCCCACGGCTTGACGGAATAGCGAGGGGTATCCAGGCATCTCTGGTATGCTTCTTTCGCGTCTTCCTTGTGCTGCAAGCGCAGGCCCAGGTCGCCTAGGATCTCCCATTCAAGACCCGTCTTCCGGTATGCCACGTGTTGGGTCTTGAAGTGGGCCACCTCTGCACGGAAGATCGTCCACACCCGAAGGTCCTAGTATTCTATCGTGAGAAACAATGGCAACTCGTCATCTCACCCCCGTACCTCATAGAGGACCATGAACAGATTGTCCAGCCATCTTTCACATAGCCGCTTGTTGCTGAACGAGAATGACTCTGAAGCAGCCTGATCCTTCGTAGCTGGCTCCGTCGCCTCGGCTGTTTCAGGTTCTGCAGCCGCTGCCTGCTCCGGCTTCTCTAGAGCATCCGTGACGACACTGGTACTCATGCTGAGTGCCGGCTTGGGCTCCTCCCGTTCTGATTCAGTCGAGATCCTGATAGTAGGGATCCCATTCTCGGACGCGTGCCCATTCACCGGTGGGGGGGAGACATCCTCGTTCTCGAGAGGACTGATGGCCGTCATCGCAGGGCTGACCATTCCACGCGTCGAGGCATTGTCGTGCGGCTCTTCGTCGTCAGCCAACGTCGTTCCCTCGCCCCCAGATCCCGAACGCAGATGGCTCGCCATATCACCCTGTGCTTTCTGCATCCGGTACTCTTCCTCCATAACAAACACCGCACTTCGCGTTTTCAGCAGCTCGTCCCATCCAATCTCAGACACGAGCTTTGTCAGCAGAGTGTAGGCACGCGCCCAGGTGCCCCGGAGCCCCGGTGCCGGCAAACGCTGCAGTGCGGGATCAGCCTCGTCGTCATCCGTCTTCACGCGGTCCGGGAGGATGTCGCCGATGGATCGATGGAAGGGCAAGTGTACGCGTGCAGGCGTTAGTTGGCGATGAGCGTCTCGGCCATTGAAGGTGAACATGGGACATGAGTTGAGTGTCAGCAATGCCTGTTAGCCGATGTGCCATGAGCGCTAATCGGCAGCACTGCATAAGCTTTCACCCACCGATTCGAAATGCCCCAGTTCGATATAGACTTCAGTCAGCTTTTCCCACGTCACGAATTCACTTGGAGCAGCGTTCACAGCTTGCTTGGCCAGTTTCATCGCCCATTCAGTTTTGCTCTTGGAACGCAGAAAATCGCACTGCGCATGTAGAAGTGTGTACGATGCCGGACCAGGTTGACCGCGCAGTGAATTCGACATGATCTGTAACGCTTTTACTTCTTCGTCTTCAGTCAAAGTGTTAGATAAGTCTCGTATTGTGGAGAGAGATGACGACGCACTCATGCCAACATAAGCCCGAGCAAGAAGAGAAGTCACCTCCGGCTCTTTCACGGACAGCTTCTCAAACAGATTTGCCACCTGTTGAAATCGTCCAGAAACGCCGAAGTACTTCATCAACCCGGCCGTGAGGTGATTCGTTGTTACCGAGGCTACCTGGATCTCGGGGTCAGAGCCAACTTGCCAGCCTGCAACGAGATGAGTTCGGCTGAGACGGGCTTCTTCAAGAAACTCTCACCCTTCAGGAAGAGCGCTTCAGCGGCAGCAAGGAATCGCAATTCACCCTCAGGGGTGGTGATAGGATCCAGCTTTCGGTAGGCATCAAGCGCATATGTCGGGTCGTCCGAGTACAGAATGGCCCGCAGAAGCGCAGAGACGTAAGTCTCTTGCCACATTTCTGGTGTCGCATCGTGTCTGATACACGAAGCCTGAGCATCAGAACGTGGAGATGGTGGACTCCGCGCACCTCTCGCCTCTCAAATCCACCACGTATGCTATGACGCCCCCAGGAATCTTCACATCGACGCGGAAGTCGACGCGCGAGAACGCATTGAAGCAGCAGTAGCACCCGTTGCGCACTTTCCACGCCGGAGCTTTGGAGAACCACGCGCCCGAATCCTCGATGGCATATGTGAGCGAGTTGATGTATGCGGCGAGCGACGCGGAGGACGAGGCGTCGACGCCGGAGACAAAGTGGTACGAGCCGAGATCGCGCTGGCCTGACTTGCCGGTTGTTTTCACGACGTGGCACAGGTCGGGCGGCCCCAGTTCACGGAAGGTAGCTGAAATGCGCGTCAGGGGAGCGCTGTGCGCGGGAAGCTTGAAAGGACTGACATAGACTTTCGGTGCGCGCAGTGAGCGACTCCCCGAGATCAACCTGCAGCGAGTGTCAGCGCCATGATGTCGCTCGACTGTCTACGCACCTCGAAGAGCTCAGGGATGTCTTTGAATGTAGCAAGAGCCTCTGCCATGTTTCAAGCCGGTGGGAATGTCTGGCGCGAGGTGTAGCAGGAACGGGCAGGCGGGCAAGTCTGTGGATGATGCGCCGGGTCAGGAATCAGAGTGAGGCGCCGCGACGCCAGAGCGACACGCACTTTGATGGAGGCGTATGCGTATGCCTGTGATATTATAGCTTGATCTGAGAAAGAGAGAAAGCCGTGAGCGTTTGCTGAGCGAAAATTTGGCGCGCCAGCGTCTGCGAAAGATCGCGCGTCACCGCCCCAAGACAACTCTGCCGATAGACCAGAGAGATGTCTCGACGCTGACCAAATGCGAAAGAGAGGGGAAAGTAGGGATGGAAGGGAGTAGGGACACATATGCGCCTTTGGGGCCAGACGAAAGAAGAGGCGATACATACTTACCTTAACCTCCTTCGTCAATCACGCCTCCAGTCCAGCCAGATCTCTTCTGTCCTAATACACGAGTTGGGTCTCCGTCGAAAACGGCGGTTTTGGAGCAGCGCGTCGGCGGCAGCGGAGACGTAAAAAGATGGGAGAATGAAGAATGGGCGAAGCAAGAAGGCGATACGCGATGAGAAACACGTCATGTCACCTGCTGCTTGATCGCTCGTCGCTGCACTCGCAAAACAAAGACAGTAGCAGATACAATTCCACTGTACGTAGATACTACGTGAGCAGTCCCAGTTACATTAGTGTCTACTTGGACTCCAGTGAGTGTTGGTGTCGGTGATATACAATTAGATGTCTAGAAGAGCCATGACCCCTTGGCACCTGAGTAAGAAGTCAGCAGCTGATGAGGAGCGACAATGCATGGGCCACTTACTCTTTGGAGGTTCTGCTTCTGGCAGTTGAAGACAGCTCTGGTGTATTAAGTTGAGTGCTTTAATCGCATCGCGGTTTTCAATAACGCAGGATATGTTGATCTCGCTTGCGCCTTGGCTGATCATCTCGATGTTGACCTTGCCCTGAGCGAGGGTGGTGAACATCCGACCCGCGATGCCAATCATATTGCACATATGCTTGCCCACTAGAGACAAGATGGCCATGTCGCTGTGCACTGACACCTGAGGCACGTGTCAGCGAGACTGATTCGTAAGATTGAGAGGGATGACACACCGTGCCGCTCTTTTGAAGCTCTCTCAGCAGCCGATCCATGATCTTTTTGGTCAGCCCCGCCTCGATAGCCATGCTCACGTGAACTTCGCTGGTGCTGATCAAGTCTACGACGACCCCGAACCGGTCCAGCGTCTCGAAGATCCCGGCAAGGAATCCATGCGACACGCTCTTCTTGTTGGAATTGATGTTCAGCACAACGATGTTGTCTTTGATGGTCACGGCGGTCGGGTGTCGTGGGTGATTCCTGGATGCCTCCGTGGATCGAGCGGCGAGCAAAGCCAGGGCCTGTGCTGAAGCAGGTTCAGGAACACTACCAACATCGTCTTCTGGCTGAGATGTGTCCGCTTCTGGGTCGGGGATGATCACTGTTCCCCCACCTCGAGGGTTCTCAACATTCTTGATACGGATGGGGATGCGTTGTCGGATAGCCTAGAGGTGCCTCAGTCCACGGATGAGGAAGAAGTCAATTCACGCACCTGCTCCATGGTGAAAGGATGAACGACTTCACTGCCGTAATAGGTCAACTCAGCGGCTTCCGCCGGGGAGATGATGGATATAAGTCGAGCAGTCGGCACTTTCCGCGGATCCGCTGTGAAGATTCCATCCACTTCCTTCCAAATCTGCAGTTCGGCAGCATCGAGTCCGACTGCAAGGAGCGCGGAGAGTAGGTCCGTGTAGCCTCGTCCGACCTGTCGTAAGAGAGACCCCGGAACAGGCCCGAAGAAACCTGGGAGGCACGTTAGCCATCGCGGGCAACTGCAAGCGAGCAAGCACGTACCTGTGATGACTGGAACCCGAGGACCACACTGCTTCACCCTTTCTCCGACTAGCTTCGATAAATTGTCGTAAAATTCCTGGTCCAATGACCCGTCCTCCATTGCCTCGAGATCTTCCGTTGAGGGAATGATGTTCTCGAGTGACACGAACTCGGCGTCTATACCCTGGTCACGGAGCACTGCCGTCATAATTTTGCAGCCCAATCGTTCTCCGAATCCCACGATCGTGTCTTTTGAACGCGGAGAGATTTCGTCAATGACCTTGTTGAGCACTCAGCGCTCCGTTCGCATCAACACAGAGAGCAAATGACGCCACTTACCTGTGAAGCTGCCAGGAAGCTTCTCAGCCATTCACAATCTCGATCAATCTCGGACTCCAGTTCTCGAAGAATTCCAGAATCTTGCACCGATGCTCGGGCGGCATTAACATGCTCTTGCTTGATCAAATCAACTGTGCCGTGGAACTCGGGCACGAATTCTTGGGTAAGCGAAAGAGGAGTCATCGCAGCGCCAGAGCTCCAGGTACGATGGGGGCTGCTAGACGGCGAACCAGGGTGCGAGCCCTCCTCCGAGCGCCCGAAGATGCCATTCGGCGTGGAATAGCCCGAGCCGCTTTTCGGTCGGCGGAGAGCCTCAGAGGCCGCTCGAAGAAGCAGGTTGGTGGTGCCCAGCGCCTTGGTCGTACCGGACCGGGCAGAGCATACCACAGCAACCTTGTTGCCGTCGATGTATGTGCTGTATTACAGCAGTCAGCGTGAAGCAGAAAGCAAAGAAAGGCGCGCGAACGCACGATACAATGTCCCGCGCGATGTTGACGACAAACTTGCCAACGCTAGTTCCACCAAACTTCTGTACCAGCCAGCGCGAGGACGGGTCGATGCTGTTTTGGTGAAGATTGGGAGGTGTGCGCGGCGGCGATGGTGAAGGAGCTGAGGACGAGGAAGATGAAGGGGGTGACGAGGCCACAGACATGGTTAGCGATTGAAGGTTAGCTTTGGAAGACTGGCTAGGGCGTTATATACATGAAAAGTACCAAAAAGAAGTGAGTCACGGAATACACGTGAGATCAATCGATCTCTTCGGTCTCCTGTATAACACCGGATAAGCTAGCAACTGCTAGAGTAAGTAGCATTGGGCGTAGAAGATCAACTGCGGCATGCAAAGCTACTACCGTTGGCCCCATATCCACAGTCATAGTTTGGACAGCGAACTCGAACCTATAGCGTTTTGTCAGGCATGATGTCTCACCGTCACCGCCACCGACGTCGAGAACATTCACTGCCACTGAGATCATGATGCAAATCAGATAAGATAACTCAATCAGGACATCTGGCCTCATGTTCCGAGCCTAGGCGCAGTCTGCACACTGCGGCGACATATCGAGAGGGCACATATAAGAGCCTCTTATTCAGTATTTCGTGTGTATCCATCTGCCTAACCCAAGTGGCTCATCAACCTGTCCAAGACAGCAAGAAAACAGCCTAGTGCATCGAAATTTCGTCCGAATAATACCTGTGTGTATGAAAGACACGGAAACGCTTTCAGACTCTACTCGACTGGTCTTGAAACTTGACTCTTTATATTTATATCCAGCCACCAAAGCATTTCCCAGGGATATCCAACCGCGCTCAAAGGACAAGCGCATCCGACACAGCGACGATCGAGGCTCAGTCAGCTGGCGGCCGATCCCCGGCGAACAAGGGAGCATTCAGCGCCACATCTGAGCCCAACTTGAATGAATCGGCTGTCTGCTTGACTCCAGAGAGACACCAACGCGTTTGAGGCGGGCTATAGACAGATCCGTGGCAGGCGTGGAAATACTCTGCGCGGGACCTGCCCCAATTCCGGGATACCGTCTGATGCACATAGCAGTGCCTTGATTTGACAGAGTAACAAGCCGACACGCCTTTGCCTCAGACTATCAAGCATCTCATACCTGGAAACACGAACAGGAAGGCGGGTCGCCGACTGCCGGTGATCACAAGGATTGGAAGAATGGCGGTGATCGTCGTCTCGGATGGAAGTTGATCAAAAACTTTGAAGTAAAGCGGGTGTGGGTGGGCCTCCTAGACTCGAAGCTCTGCACGCCACAGAATGAGGCTCAGGTCGAAGCTTATATCATCGGAAACACACAGGAGAAAGGTCGGAGGCATATAGCGCTTACTCAGAGGGAGGCAGTAAGAAGCAAGGGTTGGAAAGGGCTGGAGAGCAGGACTGGAAGGTAGGAGTGAATTCTGGAAGGCAGTTCAGTGATCTCATGTATATCAAGACATGGTTCAGGCACGATCAGAAGCGATTAAAGTTGCCATGGGTTGCATGTTCTCCGGGTCTCGAATGATGCAAGCTCGATGATTTCCACGAGCTTTCCCAGAAGATCTCGAGTTCATCATCACAGGCTCCTACCGATGGAGGAAACTCCATTCCCCGATAGACTGCTGCCCGAGGGTGTGGGAGAGCCCGAGGCGATCGGCGGATTGTTGCTTTCCTTTCACCGCCGATGCTTACAGGCTGAGAGGATGTTTGTAGTGTGAAGATCAGGCACGGAGGGCGGCGCTTGGCGGCAGCAAGCGGCAGCAGATCGCATCACGTGATTATCGCATTCGCCAGATATTTATCGCTCTTACATCGCTCAACCGTTCGACAACTTCCTATAGATAGTCACTAGCCAACGTACGCGGTCACGGTCCACGTCTCCATACCTCTCGGACTTCCTTCTACCTCCTTCCAACGTTCCAGACAGCTGTCCTGATTCGTCGAAGCAATGCCGCCTTCCGATGACCCATTGGACGCTGTGCTCCGACCCCCTCCAGACGAAACAGAGGAACAAGCCGTAATCCGACTTGAGAGAGAAGACCTTGCGCGGAAAGTCAGCGCGAAGATAGATGCAGATATTAGGGCGGAGCGGCAAGCGAGGAAGAAGAAGCGTATTGTGCGGCTACTTTTACTGGGCCAGAGCGAGAGCGGGAAAAGCACGACTCTCCGACGTGCGTGCCTCCTCAGCTTTTGTACCTTTGTATCTCATTTGCATGTTGATATCCAGAATTTCAACGTTTATATACCCCGACTGCTTTCAGGGCAGAACGAGTGCACTGGCGGGCTGTGATCCAGCTGAATATCGTCCGTTCGATACACACTATTCTCGAGGCTTTGGCGGAATCCTCTGCCATTCCGATACCAGGACGTGCACGCGGTCGACGACGTTCTACTTCCCTCCACGCGTTCGCATCTTCTTCGCCTGGAGCCGGTCCCTCCACGATACCTCTAAGCATCTCTCCAGATGTCGCACCTTCCTACTACGACGGAGGGGGAGGCGAATTCGCATTTAACGGCGTTGACTCTGATCCCGACAGCGACCCAGAAAGCGCATACGAGCGATTCGCGATCCATCCCCCTCAGCAAACTGCCGCGGCCTATGATGGGTATTCCATGCGCCTTCTCCCGTTACGGCATGTCGAGGCGCTGCTTATCGCGCGGCTGGTTCCTGCGCACGAAGACGAGCCGACCCATCTGCCAGGGCGCGGGCCTGATTCGATCAGCTCCAATAGCAGCGGGGAGATCTTCGTTCGGCCTGGGAACCGGTGGAAAGGCGCTCGGAGACGGTCCCCGGACCCAGTGCCACGCGACGAAGTGCAAGACACACTGCATTCCTGTTCGCAGGTCATGCAGGGTCTCTGGCTTGACACTGATGTCAGGAACGTGCTTAAGCGGAGGAAGATCCGACTCGAGGAGGGCCCCGGCTTGTATGTCTTCTGCTCTGCTCTTCCCGTCGACAGTTGACTGACTCATTGCGCCAGTTTTCTGAATGACCTCGCACGCGTGACAGCACCTAACTACCTACCAACTGACGATGACGTCTTACGAGCTCGACTGAAAACCGTCGGGGTCAGCGAATACACGTTTGAGATGGAGGTTCCGACGGGCCGGGAGACTGGCGCAGAATGGCGGATAGTCGATGTTGGAGGAAGCCGAAGTCAGGTGTGTGTGCACTCGGTGGGCTTGGCTCAATCAAGTTGCTGACGGGGTCAACTAGCGAGCGACTTGGGTTCCCTTCTTTGACGATGGTGCGTTCTCCGCTCTCGTCTTCTGACCTTGCGCTAACGACATCCCGCAGTGGACGCCATCATTTTCCTTGCACCTATCTCGGGCTTTGACCAGGTCCTTTCCGAAGATCGGACTGTCAACCGTTTGGTAGGTCTCACTGTGCTGTGCTTTTCAAGATGTCGGTCTGAGACTCCCGCGCGCAGGAAGACTCTGTGCTTCTTTGGAAAGCCCTCTGCGGCAACAAGTTATTGGCTGCCGTCGATATCGTCCTGTTCTTGAACAAATGCGACATCCTCGAGGCCAAGCTCAAGGCTGGTATTCGACTTGCCAAGTATGTCAAGAGCTACGCAGACAGGGAGAACACGGTCGACGCCGTCAGCTCTTGTGCGTACTTTGATGGCTGTATAGCTCGGGCTGATCGTGGCCTAGATCTCAGAAGCAAGTTCAGTGCGATTCACCGAGAAAGCTCGCCCAGTCCACGCAAGTTCTATGCCTTTTGCACCAGTGTCACGGACACTGCCACGACCGGTGGCATCATTGCGAGTGGTGAGCTGTCTCGGCTCTGTGTCCATTTCAAGTGCTTGACGACGCTCCAGTCCGTGATATGGTGGTTCGACAGCATTTGAAGCAGTCTAAGCTCCTCTGAGCACGCGGTTGCCATCTCCACAGCAATTGTGCTACTTTCACATGGGCGCGGTCGGATCTTTCATATGCTGCTGTCTCGAGCGCTTTTTCTCTCCGAAATACCCACCTACTGCCGACCGTCGCTCCCTCCTTGCTGTCGATTTCTGAAATGTTGTTCGTTGTTGTCGAGATGTCCGTCACATGCTGTCCGTTATCATTTTGGGCTTATTTTTGGGATATATTGTATGCCGTAGATGCTCTAATGCACGCTGTATTTTACGCCCCGTCTATTTACCTCGCGCGTCTAGACTCTCTGTCCGAACATGCACAGCCATTCGGGCAAAGGATGTGCCCAGAGCGCATCGTGTGACCAAGGGAGATTTTCCAAAGATAGACATTTTTTTCTTTACATGTGGTGAATCCAAACTAGTCTTATACCTCTCAGAAGAAAGAAAAAGCACGTAAGCAATCTTGACAATCTCGAATGCCGTGGGACCTGGGCCGTGACTCAGTGAGACATCGATATTGATGAGAGTAAGTCGTCAAGATAAGATTAGATCGTCGGATTTATACAAGCCAGCATCGGTTTGAATCGGCCGACATCATCTCTCTCTATCAAGCCGCGAACATGCCTTTATGTAGCGCTCGTGTACACGAGCTTGTCCACGTCTTACCCACTCGGAGTTGCTTCCGTGGCACGCGACTCGCTTTTCTGCACCGTTACCCCACAAAAAACCGCCTTCTAGCTGCCAATGACGTCGAGGGATGCAGAAAAGACTCTTGTGGTCGAGGAAGTAGTGCGAGCGGACGATATAGCATCGAACGCGGTGCTCTCTGAGGAGCCATACAGCGCATTCACGGTCAACGAGAAGTGGGCTATCGTGTTACTCATTGCGACCGGGGCGTTCTTCAGGTTCAGTCCTCTGCTGCTGATATAACATGGCCCTGTATCGAACTTTCCTGCAGTCCGCTCTCAGCCAATATCTACTTTCCCGTGATACCCACCATCGCAAAGGCGTTCCACAAGTCAATAGAGCTTATCAACCTGACGGTGTGTCTCCCACCAGCTGTTGGCATCCCTGGTGTACATTCAACTTATGGCGTCCATAGGTGACACTGAACATGGTCTTTCAAGGGCTGAGTGCGTCCCACGCTGTGTGGGCCTGTATTTCATCATCTCGGTGCTGATCCTCCGTCCCAGCGCCCATGATCTGGGGGAGTCTGTCCGACACCTACGGTCGCAGACACATCTTCATCTCCTGCCTCGTGATCCTCTCGCTGTCTTGCGTCGGCCTCGCGCTCACCCCGACGTCGGCGTACTGGCTGCTCCTCTTTCTGCGGTGTTTCCAGGCTGCTGGGTCTGCGAGCACCATTGCCCTCGGCGCAGGTGTGATCGGGGACATCTCGACGCGTGCGGAGCGGGGTGGGTTCTTTGGGTTATTCAGCATTGGGCCCATGGTGTGTGCCAAGTCATCGCTGCTTCGTCATCTCGGGTTTGAATCGCGAAATGTCAGGTCGGACCGACTCTGGGGCCGGTGCTTGCCGGTGTGTTCGCCGACAAGCTGGGCTGGAGGTGTGTTGGTGTCTGGGCGTTGGTTCTGCCGCTTGATGTCGTCCCCGTGCATAGAGCGATCTTCTGGTTCCTGTGCATCTCCTCGGGTATATGCGCCGTGGTTCTCATCCTGTGAGCGACATCCTCTTTCTTCTACAGTGCCTGACATGTTCTCAGGTTTCTGCCCGAAACACTGCGCACCATCGTTGGCAATGGGAGCATCCCGCCGCCCAAGATATACAACGCCGTCATCCCCATCATCGGCCGCACGGCTAGACGCTCGCCGGCTAGTTCCTCCAGCAGTACTGGACGCAACACATTCCAGAATCCGCTGCTCATTCTGCTGCAAGTCGACATCCTGATTCTACTCCTGATCAACGCCCTCAACTTTGCCGTGTTCTACGGAGTCACAACAAGTATTTCGAGCGTGTTTGTCGACGCGTATCCTCACCTGACGGATACGGAGCTGGGATTGTGTTTCCTGCGTACGTTAGTGGCCGATATCCCTACCGCACGCGCTAATCACCTGTCCTCCAGCCATCGGCGCGGGGCTCATCCTTGGCTCTGTGTTCCACGGAAAGATTCTCAACTGGGAGTACCGGCGGTTGAAGCGCAAAGCGAAAGATGTACACGAAGATGATTTCCCGATCGAGAAGGCGCGGCTGCGCTCGCTGCCGTTTCTGCTGGCGTCGTTCGTCGGGTGTACGGTCGGATACGGATGGTGTTTGCAGGCGAAGACGCACATCTCCGGGCCGCTTCTGCTTCTTGTCGGCAGTGCGTGTTGTCCACTCCCAGGTTGCTCAAGTACCGATTATGGCTTCCAGTTGGCCTGGTGGTCATCTCCGTGATGAACTCGATCCAGACGCTCATGCTGGACCTCATGCCCAGCCAAAGTTCCGCGGTGACAGCATGCGTGAGTCGTGTGCCGACGCGTCTCGCTACCTGCCCACTCACTCACGCTGCCTAGAACAACCTCATCCGATGCTCGCTCGGCGCAGGTCTCGTGTCGGGCATTGCGCCGCTGCTGGGCGCTCTTAGGCCCGGCTTCACGTACCTGCTGCTGGGCGGGCTGGCTGGGCTGATGATCCCGGTGGTGTATCTCGTCATCCACGTTGTTGGCCCACGGTGGAGGAGGAAGAGACAAGGACTGGCCTCAGGGAATGCATTGGCGCTGCATTAATTTTGTATTCTGAGTATGCTTTATAGTATGCATCTGCTGGCGCTCGGAAATCAGGGGCACCAGCGGCTGGAATGCAAATCTGAGTGTCGTGTGGATGTGCCAGCTGGAATACAAAATCTGGCAAAGCAAGTTACAAGGCGAGACCAGTGGGCTGCAGTTCTCGCTGGAGACATCGCTTGTCTTGGGTGGAGGGCATCGAGCATCGTTCTCTTCAAGGAACTGTCGCTCAGAAACGGCGAAAGCATGTTATGCCGGATGACAAGCCTCCCAAGTGCCCTCCGATGTGAGGAGTAGACAATGCAACTAGCCCACATTGTAGATTTGATCCTCAACGTAGGAAGCTGTTGGCATTGGAACAAACAGCTCATCTGTTTGCTGACCTGAAGACAGGATGCGCGGTCACGTGAGGGCCAAATATCTTCGCATTGGTGCGTCACGCGTGCCGTGGATTCAGGTTCATACAAGTGTCCTTAGTGCTACGAGAGGAATTTATAAGATATATTCGCTTAATAAACTCGGTCACACAGCCGAATACCACACCTCAGACCGCTCTTCCGCGGTCTTGCCGCTCGGCTCCCCCTCGAGCGTCCCCGATCCCCACAACCCACCGACAAATCCGAAGCCTCGAACACGACCCTCGTGGATATCAAACTGGGCAGTGACGCCCTCCAGGCCCGAGTCGTACGCGATCGTCGGCACCGACACGTTCCGAGTTTGCTATGCATCGTTACTTCCAGGTCAGCGGCGAACTGGGCAATACGAAGCGCGAAGAGCACAGACCAGAGGAACCCAGCCAGAGACGTTGAACACCGGCCCGTCGTAGTGCGTCAGCGCGGCATACGTCGCAGACAGTCGGTCCCACCGCCACACGAGGTCAGCGCCAGCCAGCTGCTCGGGGAAGGTAGCGTTGATCGCCGACACCAGGGACGAGCAAGTCGGCGATGCGGGCTGGGACACAGCGCACAGCTCGATGTCCGGCCCGTACCCTGGATTGCTGTAGTTTTGAGCTGCGAACTTGGTCAGCGGGAGCGGAAGCGTAGCGTTGGCGGGAGGCGGGAGAGCTTGGGGGGCGGATAGACGCGCGCCGGAGACGATACTGCGGTATCGCGTGTTCCAGTCGATGGACTCGAGTCCGAGAGCCTCGTCGATGATTCGATACTTGATCACCTCTTTCATGTATGTTCCAAAAACGTCGTCGTTAGTGAGGACCGCGATTCCGAGGCCTTCGTTGGGGAATCTAGAGACTTGAGCATGGAATCCTGTACGGGATCATTTTGTGTCAGGAGAAGAGTGGAGAGGGGGCCACTGACCGACGAAATCTCCTCCGTGCTGATGGAAAGGTTGGGATCTGAAGCTTCTGAGTTGAAGTGACTCACCTCGATAATCACTGAGTGGTTGAAAATTGGTGAGATAATCCCAGTCGCCATCAAAGCGAGACTCACCGTGTCCTCGGTATCCGTACTGCGCTTGGGCACCACCGTAGACCTGAGCCGTCACTTCAGGGAATTGCCTGGGCCAAAACAGTGACATGAGATCAAAACGTTGTATCGAGGACATACGCATTTCCCTCCCAAACGGAGATACCAGTGGCAACGGTTTGAATCGCGCTGGCAGGGACCACTATCTCCCCGGTGATGGGATGCTTTCCGTTCAACAACAGCATTTGGAGCCAGGTCGCCTGTGCCCATGTTAGTCAGTAGGAAAAAGACGGGTTAATCGATTTATTACCATGTCAATAGCATTGCTCAGAATACCACCAGGACCCGACAATGCTGGAAATCGATGAGTTTCTTTTACGAGATGTAGTTGTTACACAAGAACGCACCGGATCCCTGAGCACTCGACTCCAATGGGAACGGCAACGGATAGACTGTTCCACGACCCAGCGGATCGTCGGTGACGTTGATATCGACCCGGGTGAACACATCCGCGAAGTTGCCCGTCGCAAAGGCATCCGTGGTGGAATATGTCGTCGCGTTCATCCCGAGCGGATCGATGATGTGCGCTTTGACGTACTCCGTAAACGCGGGATGGTCCGGGAGCAGCGCAGTCGGCAGGTAGGAGAGGAATTCGTACATGAGATTCGAGTACTGCGGATTCTCGCGGAAGCCTGTCGACGGTTTCAGGTATTTCATGCGTGAAATCTGTTGCAGTTCATCAGCCACTCGCCAATGGGCTATTGAATGACCTCACCAGAGTGGGCACATCGTCGGTGCGGCTGTACGCAAAGTCGTGTCGCGGCATCCCGGTGCGGTGGCTCATCAGGTCCGTGATCGTGCTCTGAGCAGTGGCCACCGGATCAGCCAGTTCCCAACCCGGAAGGATGGACGCGATTTTCGTGTTCCAGCTGATCTGCGGCTCGAGGCTGGTGTTGCTGATCAGCAGTCCAGTGGCGAGGATATCGAAAAGCTAGCGTGTCATGCAGCATCCGTGGTTGGCAAGGGCCCAATCGACGCACCTTGGAATTCGAACCAATAGAGAAGACTGTTTCTGGGGTCACTTTGCTTCCATTGGCCTGCGCTACGCCGTAGCCCTTGGTCTCGACACTCCACCCGCCTTGGGGATCGAGCTGCACGACAGCCACCGCGGCGCCAGCGGGACTGTTCCAGCTCGACAGCACGTTCTCGATGTACGCGTCGACGTCGGGTGTCAGCACCGCGGCACGCGTCAGCCCAGCGAGTGCAGATAAGAGTGCGAGGAAAGCCAGGTGCTTCATGCGACTTGCTTTGGTTGATATTCGATACGCAGGGACTCTTGAGCGGTTTTATAGTTGCGCGCTTACGCTGGCGGAGCTCCAGGCAGAACCGGATCGATGCCTATCACTATCTGTTTTGATAGTGTCGGGCCTCTCCTCCGCAGCACTGTTATTGGGATTGCGGCGAGACTGGAACGTCCGAAAATCCGGGATGTTTCATGTAGACACTATGACAGCTTTGTCACTGGTGTAATCAGTGTGTTGTCAGGTGCATGAACGCATAAGAGCGCAGCTCCCGCTGTTTGGTTCATCACCACCGTTTGGCACAGCAACTGTCATTCGCTGCGCACATACATCCTGATAATCTTCTTGACGCGAGATTCGAGTGGCTGGGACCTCAAGTAATGGGATCGGATGGTAAGGATGGGTTAAGATCTAACCGAAATCCAAGTGGATGGGCTGTCCAGGTGACTCTACTGTCAGTCGCAGCGTTGATAATCTCCACCGCTTTTTGTCAAAGTTGAGCCGGGACGAGGCAGTGCTCCAGGTTCCTTCACAGTGGTTCACCGACTTCTTCTCTTCCAAATAGACTCAGCGACATCTGAGCGTTGGGCTCTGTGCGGTAGAGGGCCACAATGCCCTCTACGGAGGACTTGCGCTCCCGCGTCCAGCCCGACAACTGCCTGATGGTCCACCTCGTTCCGCCCTTTCTCGGTTTGGGGAGCAGTTTATCCGTCTTCCATGTAAAAGCTTCTTTCGAGCCGTATCGTGCCATTTTGACGTGGGCCGTGAGCAAGTAAGCTGAGGCAGAACGCGAACGGGAAGACATGGGAAGGACACGGCTTTGAAGGTGGGTCGAAGATCAAGTTGTTGGGCTTGAAGATGCGATTGGGATCGGATTGCTCGCTAGCAGAGAGTAGAGCCGCGATAAAGATGAGGATATAAGTGTCGCCGACAGCATGAGCGCCGAGTCCAGATCCCGTTCTCGCAACTCGTATTTTCGCTGGCGCTATCCTCAAGTTCTAGCATCTCTCCCAGAGGGCAGAAACACGCAGAAAGAAGCGGGATACAAAGGCACGACGATCTGTTTCATGGCGTCCGTTAGCGCTTCCACGGCGCGTCGTTTGCATGTGGAGCCTATGTACCTTTGATCAGCCAGATCCCCTGCGCGCATTGTTCATGACAAAATTGTACAGGTATCTCGACACGTGCATAAGTAGCAGTAGGTCGTGCAGTTCAAGATGTCCCCCTAAAGACGCGCGCACAAGTCGCATATATCCAAGGAGATATGCGAAGAACACACTTAACGTCGAGACGTTGAGTCCGTTAACAGAGACGGCAGGGATTTCCGGACATATAAGGTTTGATATGATAGCTTGCAGGTCGACTAAAGTAATTTTCGGAGGGCGTGGTTTGGGCACGGAATCCTTGAGACGACGGCATGAAGAGCAGGAACGAGATGGTGGGCACTAAAGCTCTCGTGACTTTGATCGTGACACCACGCGCTTGTTATCACACCACACATTCAAAAATCTGGAAAAGATGCATTCTCTATGTATAAAGTCTCTTCAAGGCCCGAGACCGAATGAAACTCGCGTTTTCAACATGTTCCCGTCTCTCTTTTGCCGCCGAGTACACTGGCAGCGCTGGCTCACAACTTCGCGCGTACACCTGGGAAGATCGCCAAGTCTCCGAGCACTACTCTTGCTCTCGCGGAAGACGGCCACAGGGCCCGCCCGAACGCCTTCAACTGCGGCCGCAAACTCAAGATTGAACCTGAGCCCCTGACCGTGCGCCCTTCAAGCAGCGCGGCGTTCTCTTTATCCTCGTCATCCTCGTCCGTCTCTGATCCTCCGGCCGAGTCCTCCTGATCCGAGGACGTGCACTCGTCTTCGTCGCTGCTCCCGGGATGGATGAAGAATGGCTCCTCGTCGTCTTCGTCCCCTTCGTCGCCCGCGGCAGGAATGCTCTTGAATGGCAGACCCAGACGTTGGATGCCCGCGTGCACGACCCAGTCCCCGCTCTCGCAGACCGAACGTGCATGCTTGGGAGCCCACACGAAACCGGCGGTTTTGTCTTTGCGGATGTGGGCAGTCTCGGCGCCGATGGGAGCGAAATGGAAGTGCGGACGGACGCTGGTGCGCGGAAGGATGGTGTCGGTGTGCTCGTCGACGAGACCCGCAGTAATGGCCGACCTTTTGAAGGCCTGCTTTTCACGTTGCAAGATAGCTCCTTTTGTGTGGGGTGGCCAGGGGAGTCGCTCATTCTGCTGTTCGGCGGTGACCGTCTTGAGGCCATGAACATCGCTCTCGAATGACGCGTCGATGTTTGTGGGGAGGGGACTAGCCATCCGGATGCAGTTCTTCGCTCCTTGGACCGTTTCTGATGAGGAAATGGGCTATCTGAGCACGCTGCTTCAGTCCACAACAACACGCACCACTCGTACCAACGGGTTCGCTGCGCGGTGCCTGGCACAAAACCGTGTGGGCCTCGAGTTGGTCGCTCATTTTGGTGAGATTCTGTTCCAATATCAAGCCTTCCACTCCCATATATATGTAGCAGGGGGACATGCAAAGCGCAGACAATGGACAAGACCTCCGATTCTGGCTTGAATACAAGCGAACAGTTTCTGGAAGATCGAAGTGGACTTCTGTGGGGTGATATATATGGCAGTTCCAGGTCTTCCTTCCGGCCGTCTATGCAGCCCTGGATGGCCGCCGTTCACAAGAGTAGAGGAGGCCAATGAGATCGAGAAAGACAATGCGACGATCGATCACGTGAATTGCCATGATCACATCCGTTTCAATGCTTTGTACGGCGCTTCACACTGCGGGGGGATTTAATTTTTTTCTGTGGAAAATGCGTGACAATCTAGAAGTCCGATTTTCACCGTTATGTTTTCAGACAAAAAATATATATTGAAAATAGACGTCGATTTACAGCTCGATTTTTACCATGAATAGACATCTATTCCTCCCGAAAACAGAACTGTAAGTAGATCATCTTTTTTTTGATCGATTCCCACTGGGAATAGACGTCGATTTTCTCTGAAAATAGAGACAAAGAAAAGATGATCTTTTTTCACTGAGAACAGATTAAAACCACTGGAAGAATCTGTTGATTCTGGCCCCAATTTGCATCCCTGGCCTTGCAAAAGGCTACTGGATGCTACTCACAACATGTTGGAATCATGCTGCAGGACTTGTGATGTGAATTGGGGCCGGAGTCAACAGATTCTTCCAGTGGTTTTAATCTGTTTTCAGTGAAAAAAGATCATCTTTTCTTTGTCTCTATTTTCAGAGAAAATCGACGTCTATTCCCAGTGGGAATCGATCAAAAAAAAGATGATCTACTTACAGTTCTGTTTTCGGGAGGAATAGATGTCTATTCATGGTAAAAATCGAGCTGTAAATCGACGTCTATTTTCAATATATATTTTTTGTCTAAAAACATAACGGTGAAAATCGGACTTCTAGATTGTCACGCATTTTCCACAGAAAAAAATTAAATCCCCCCGCAGTGTCACTGCTGTGAAACACGACAAAGAGGCTTGAAATTGATTTTTTCTGCATTTAAAGGTGTCACGGCGCCACTTCGGAATAGGTTGCCTGCCTATGCACGCAATCCAACCCCGCGCAGCTTGGGGTAAGGTTTACACGTGATCCCCCCACTCTTCGATTTTCTTCATCACACTTGGCGGACGGCCTTAAGAGCTTTGTGAATGCGATCTGATTGAAGCGCTTTACGCTTGGGTAGGCGTCGAGACCGATCGATTGAACGCGTCGACTCGCAACCTGTAACAGGTCCGATATTCCGTAAGAAATCTGAAAGATTCACGCGTATGATCCGACTAAATCTACTCGAATATGTACAGAATCTTCGTTGGATTCGCGTCTCGGGTAGGTATCTCGCGCAAACTCACGTGTCCTCGCACCTACATCCAGGAAAAACAATCACGTGTTCGCGTTTGATCCTGGTAGATCCTGGTTCTGGGTCCGGGTAGCGACATCCCGACTGATCCGGCGTTGCTCACTGCGTTGATCAAATCGCATACGTTTTGCGGCTTTCCTCATCCGCGTTGTCCACTGACCCTCCTCCCTCCCTCCCCCGCGCGACACGATGGCTCGTAACCAAAAGCACGGCGGCAGTGGCGGCAGCCCCGTTGCGCCTATAAACACCTCCGCGCGCTACACAGCGGTGTCGTTCTCGATGCCCGACTCTGCCGCGACGAGTCCCGCGTCCTCGCGTGCGAGTTCGCCCATGACGCCGACGTTCCCTGGAATCAATGGGACCATGTATGAGAAGAGTGAGGCGAATGGCCATGGGAATGGGAATGGGCCGATGGATGTCTATGATGCGACCCTCCCGCCGTGGCGCGCCGCCGTGCGCAGGAAGCTGGTGGAGATGATCAAGAGGGAGAGTGTCCTGCTGGCTAACATGCAGGTCGGTCGCCTTTTTTGCTCGTGTGACATGTATGTGGACGCTAAATGCATCGCGCAGGACCGTATCAGAAGCCCTGCGCTGGACGCGTACTTTCTCCACACGTCTGCCCTGGGCAGCCACACGTTCTTCATGATGTTTCTTCCGATGCTCTTCTTTTTCGGCTTTCCCGAGCTGGGACGAGGGTGCGTGTTGTGCGGCTTTCTTCCGCGCAAGAGGCTCACATGCCACGCGATTGCAGCCTTATCGTTGTGCTGACGCTAGGCATCTACATCACCTCCGTTGCCAAGGACCTTTTCTGTGCGCCTCGGCCGTTTGCACCGCCCGTGACGCGTCTCAGTGAGCTGTTCCTGCGCATTCCACATGGTGCTCTCTTCTCATGGACATCGTAGCCATCGGAACGCACCACCTCGAATACGGCATGCCTTCGACACACAGCACCAACTGCGTATCCTTGGCGCTGTTCTTCTTTGCGTACATCCACGAGCTCGCCTTCCCGGCCACCCCCGAGCCTGCGCTCATCTCGCTCTCCGCGTACACCGGCATGGCGATCGGGCTCACGGTGTACATGGTCTCAATCGTCTTCGGGCGGCTGTACACCGCGATGCACTCCTTCATCGACTGCGCCGCGGGGGTTGCTATCGGCGCATTCATCTGGCTCGCGCACACCTCGTTCCCGGGAATCCCCGTGAGCCTGCCATCATCAGGCTACTCGACAACGCTGCTGCGCGGCTGGGGGTGGGGCGCGTACCTCGATGAGTGGGTGCTGCAGACGCCCTCGTCGTGGAAGGTCCCGCTGACGCTGATCCCGCTCGCTCTCCTGGCGGTCAACCAGCACCCGCAGCCTGTGGACGACTGCCCGTGTTTCGAGGACGCGATTGCCGTAGGCAGCGTGATGCTTGGGATGTTTATCGGGAAATGGGGTGCCATTCGGTGGGACTGGGGCGCCCACCGTGCTTCTGTCGGACTTAACGCCGTCATGCCAGGTAGCGGATGGGCGCTGGGCTCTGACGGCGTCTGGGACGTCGTCCCCCGCACCTGGGGCGACGTCGGCACATGGTGGGCCGTCGCTGCGGCGAAAATGACATTCGGCATTCTCTCGATCTTCGTCTGGCGCCTTGTCGCGAAAGCGGTCTTCCTGCGTGTCCTGCCGCCGACGTTCCGGATCGCCGCCCGTCTCATGCGCCTGCCGAGGCGGCGGTTCTACACACCCGCGACGGACTATGCGGGCTCGGCCCCGCCCCTTGACAAACTGCGCCCCATCCCGTCCGTGATTGATCTCCCGAGCGAAACGGGTGTCGAAGTCGGTGGTATCGGCAGCGGCAGCGGGATCGGAATCGGCGTTAACGGGGCGCGGGGACTGCGGCGCCGCGCGGAGGCGGTCGAAGCTGCGAGAAATACGGTGGCGGTTCCAGGCATGGCCCTCCCGGAAAACGAGGTGGACCGGGAGAAAAAGCATTATGATGCTGAGGTGCTGACAAAGGTGATTGTGTACGCGGGAATTGCTATAATCGCGTGCGAGGTCATGCCTGTGCTGTTCGAGATGTTTGGCTGGGGAGTCAGGTCCTGGCCCTGAGCTGTAGTTAGAACATACCATTCATTATTTATGCGCCGGAGTATTGCTCTTAGCGCTCGGAATTGAGGATGTAACAATCTCGTGGATGTGAATCTAGTTTGTTCGTGGGGCAGACTAAGGGACAAGATTAGGACAGAGCTGTTACTTGTGAGATGCACCACGGGCTCCGGAGAACTGGATGTTCCAGGTGTCTCCTGTGCCATGCATCATTAAGTTCGGCATGCGTAGACAAAGAATCCAGGTGTATTGACCGATGTGACCTTGAAAAGGCTAGGGCCATAATCCGTACTCTGTATCTGATTTGACTGACCAACAAGGGTCTCGGTTATGCTCGCTCACCAGCCTCAAATATCAGGTTCGGATCCTGCAGGTTTTCGGACCCACCTTCTATAGAGGCTGGAAGTGATACCCGGATTCCTAAGCGAGCGGCCTCGGAGTTTGAATTCAATCAGAACCTATGGAAACGGTCAAGATGCCGAGCACGTGTGAAACGGCATCTGTGTGATTCGATGAGATTAGGTGAATATTGGCGAGCGATCTCTTTTGAGGCATCCATGATCCCTTCGCCGTACGCGTTCTACGTACCACTCAGTCCATCTCCGGGCGTCCAATCACTCACCCCACCTCCCATTGCCCTAACCGAGCAAGAGACCCACGAGAGACGGTTTATCGCTGGTGCATTCGACGACGTACTTCCGATACAAGAAACTGAAGCCAACACTCAACAATCGACTCCGAGTGGCCCCAGTACACCCACTAAAACGCCTCAGCGAGGCGTGCGACCAATATCCCGACGATCCCGTGCTCGTTTTCCGTGGCCTCAGGGGATCTCTGAAGCTGATCGGCTTTTGGTCGCGTTTCGATGTCTTCAACAAGCAGGGTTTGACGGCTTGGGCGATTTTATCGCGGCAGCTCTCAGAAAGCAGAAATGGGAAAAGAAGCACTCGCCAGTGACACAGTTCGTCGCCAATTTCCTGCAATGCCGTTCATTAGACAAGCAGACACATCCCATCGCAATTGTGGATGCCATGTATTCGGACGACAGGTCGCGCAAGCGATATGACACCGAATCACGACCCATCCAGTTCGAGCTTCCAAGATACGCACTCCCCCCATCGCTGCGTCTTTTGGCGACCCTGCCCCCCTCTCCCACTGGCACATACAGTACGCATGACGCCTTTCTCAACTGGGCCTTGCAGAGAATGATCGAGCGCTGGAGGGAAGAAGCCGACGCACTCATAGACCCGGTTCACGGACTTGTTCGGATAACAAGGCGCGGAGAGACACCGACTTGGTCTCAAATGCTCAGCTTCAGCATTTCCAAGCACCAAGAGACCATTGCGACTGTAGCACCGGCAATCTTCGCGGGCATCACCACCGTCAGCGTCAATTCCGAAGTGCAGGAGAAGTTGGAGGCTGCGGCGACGGGATTGTCTCAGACGAACAGCAGGAATCCGTCAGTGGGACAAGAGCAGGCTGAGGACGAAGAAGATCAACCCGAAGCGTTGCCGAGTCGTGGTGTTCCTTCAGACGTAAAACGGGATCCATGGCAGGTAAGCACGTCTATCTCTCGCGCGAGGCTGGCAATTGATCTCTGCGTTCATAGGGCTCAATCATTGTGATCCTCGTGCTGTTGTACTTCAAGTATCGGTTCGCAATCATATTCCCGACGTTCGTTGGCTTGTTTCTATACACATGCAATGTCCATCGCGATGTTTTCTCGTTCCTTTGTCGCATTGGTCTCTCGATCCACTATTCGACAGTCCTCAACATCTTGAACAATCTCGCCAGCGATTCATCCGAGCATCTGATCAAGCTGGGAGCTGCCTGTGCGCTCTCACAGCCGCTCTTTCTCCTGCTCTTTGATAACATCAATAAGATGCAGCGCGCATGGCGGAAGGTTCTTGGCCACAGTGACACCATTGCGAATGGCACAGCAGCGACAGTGATTGGTCTCGAAGATGTCACTTATGATGCTATGCAATCAGCACCGTTGCTGGAGAACGTCCGTGCTCGCAAGCGTCAAAACCTATCTTTGGAGCAGTTGCTCAAGGACATAGATTGGGGCCATATCCGGGGAGTCGGAGGAGCGACTGTGTTAGGTGTCTGGGCTAAGTCCGTTGATTCACTCCGCAAACATCAATCCGCTGCCGCTGAGCTGTTGACTGTCAAGCACGCAAAGCACCGTTTGCGGGAACGCCGAAGTGTTATTCGCACGATGCGGACAACTAATGTCGATGAATCCCAGACGACTGGAGTTGCGGCCGAACTCTCGAATCTCATATCCGATCAGATGCAGATTGCGGGACATTGGCTCAATTGCTGGCTAGTCATGGTCTGCGGAGATCAGCTCAGCATCGACCGAATCCGCAAATTGAAAATCTATACTGCGAAGACCGATAACGCATTCGATCGTCATGACTATGCTCTGCCCATCCTCCAGTTATGGCATCTCAAATGGAATTGGCAGAAGGCCATCTTCCGGCTCCATTGGTACCAACCAACCGGCAAAGGCATATTTGGACTTCATCATGATGTCGATCTGCTTCAGCGGAGCAAGTTCAACCCAATCAAATGTGACTTCTATCCTGCTCATCACATCCTCGATGACCGGTTTGATAGTCTGATCCTTCATATTCTTCGGTACGTGCTCTATTAGATCTGCGGCTCGACATGCTCATTGTTCTCAGGATTCTCTGCGAAGAACGCACTGGAATTATACATCCAGCTTGTGTCACGCTTCTTGAGGGATTGGAACTTTATTTCCAAGACGGCGGGCCAATGGCCAACACAACTTTTGACGAGCTCCTGGATCTTGCCAATCTCGCCTATCGACGGTATATTGGTAACTCTGCCTATGAGGATGCGCAAGGTATCTGGCCGCGCGACCCCAACATCCACGGCCCTCCGACACCAGTACAGGCTAATGAACCACTGGTTTTGCCTCCAGCAGGGGATGCGGCTGTGGACGACCCAATGGAAGAGGTGGAGGAACTAGATGCACCTGATGAGCCCGACACAGTTGATGCAGATAACGGTGACCCGCGTGATAATTGGAATGACGAGAACGAACGGCCTGCTCGGAAGAAGCGCAAGACTCGTGCGTCTAAAGCTAAAGCAGCTGAGGCCAAGAATATCAATGGGAATGATCAATGCTTCTCTACAACCGTCAACTTCCTCCGGATGACCTTCCTGTACATGGAGATGTGTTCCGCTGTTGCTGGTGGCGATATTGGGCGCGTTTTCGAGGTTATAAAGGTCCTGCAATTCTCGTTCTGGGGCGCGGGATCCACCAATTATGGCAACGAGCTGTTGGAGCTGGCGTGCAACTTCCTCTATGAATTCCCTCCCGAGTTGATGGAGGCAGTGTTGAACAATTATCTTGTTAACACGCTTGGCCTCCCGGGTCATTGGCTCGAACTCGACCTCCTCCAAGAACACCACAACTTCTGGATCAAGCGTCTCTTCAACTCGAAGAGTCAGGACTTCGATTCTAAACATCTTTCCGAAGCGGTCTCGTTGAACATACACGGCTTCAGCGAGCTCCGCAAGTCCTTTCCTGAGACTTTTGGTCTCAAACCAAACAGCGGGATCCATGCCAAATCCGACACGAGCAGCGACATCAACGCGTTGGGATTCCACTATCAGGCTGACAACATCTTGCGCTACATTCCAGGAAGGAATGGTCACGTTGTTCCAAATGAATTCATTGTTGGGCGCCAAATCTTGGCAGGAGGAAAACTGGCTGAATTCCTTGAGCGAACGACAGATCCCAGCAAGTCTCGCCAAGTTCATCCCGAAATGGATAACTCGGAAGACGATTCGGACGAAGATCGATTTCCAGCCAATCCAATTATGTTGACATCATCCGGTGCTCGACATCTTGATGCATTCTCAGTCGGTGATATGTGGTAGACTAAGTAATTGTATGTAAGTAAGTGCGGTGAATACGTGTTAGTATAGAATCGTAGCATTAGGGATTAGAAAGTGAGACGTAAAGAAATAAGTAGTGTTAGAAACATGTAATCAGACCGGCTGGTTCTCCTTATTGGAGGCTTTCCGTTTCTTTGTGGGCTTCTTGACAGCGTCTGACAGCGCGTTTCGCTTCTGTGGTATTGTCGAAGGAGTGGAACGTGGGATAACAATGCGCAGAGATTGAGACGACGATTGGGCAGGAGGGACAGCCACCGGTTTGATATCCTTCTCTGCGGCCACCGGGACAGGCACGCCCACTTGAGTTTCCGTGGTGCATTCTTCGATGATGGCTTTGTATTCCGGCAGGATCTGGACCATAAACTTGAATAGCTTGTCGCCCAACTCCTCCTGTCTGGCCCAGTCATGCATCACAGCCCACAGGCGATCCAGAGTCGAACAAGCATGTGCGCGATCAACCAGTCGCTGCAATAGATGTGTTGGGAGGACATCTTCAGTGAAGCAGTCGGGATCGTTGTTGTCGCGAAGCTGCACATAGACCCGGCCGCGCCATCCAGTGAGAACCTTCTCCAGTGATTGCTTCAATGGGCCGTCGAGGACAGGATATGTGCCATCGGAACGGATAGATTTTGATTTGACACGCACTGTCTCCAACTCTTCGAAGTGTTTGACCCAACGAGCAACCATGTTACTGTCATCGGACTCCTCTGGCTGGGGACAGTGGAAGCGACAACAGTTGGGGCGTTCCGTATAGATCTCGCCATTGTATTTGAGATCAGCACCACGGGAACAGAGCTCGGATGTTGGATTGAAGAAGGCGCGGATGACCCAAGGGAGTTTGGCTCGCCGCTGCGCATCAATCTTGCCCTGCTTGGTTATGACATCCGACTCGGGGACGTCCCGCACCCATGCAGGCGCATAGACAATTGCAACGGCAGCTTTGCCATTGCGGCCTGGCCGTCCCATCTGTTGCTTCTGAACCTCGAACGAGTCCTCCATGCCATCACTGATATGCGCAATAATGACTCTAGACAGTCTAGGGATGTCGGTGCCGTAAGTGCAGGTGTCGGTGACAATGCCAATGCGTAGATGGGATCCCTCATTCATATCATGAATGAATTGGCGACGGTAATGCACCGGCATCAGGGCATTGTACAACTTGATGACTGTCTCGCGTCCAGGGATTGTTGCCGGAATGAGTGAGTCGAGGAATGTCATGATGCGATACCCGGTCTGGATGGTCTTCGCAAAGATGAGAGTGAGAGGGATCTCTTGCGGTGACTTCATGTCGAAGGGAATGACGAAGCTGAGATCCAGAAACTCTGTCCCAGAGGTCGCGTGCTCGAAGAATCGTGGGATGTACTTGACATTGGGGCGATCAATACTGTAGCGCGCGTTGACATACCCTCCCCGAAAGCCAAGACCCTCCGCGATCTCGAGGGCATGGGAGGGGGTTGCCGTCCCGGTGACAGCACCAAACACAGCAGAGCTGGGCAGCCGACTCCGGAAAGGAAGGATGGCCCGGTATGGCTCCCGGAAAGTGCCTCCCGACTCACGGAAGAGATGAACTTCATCAATGAGAACCCATCGCACAATGCGTTTGATTTTCATGTCCTTCAACAACGCAGCTACCCTAGACCCCTGCAGCATCTGTGGGCTCATGACTGCTGCTGAAATCCCCGTCCCTCCGGCAAACTCAGCGAAGAGATCGCGCTTGTCTCTAATCTGGGCTTCTCGAACCGAGTCCTCGTTGATAGCAAGAGTGTGGATGCCATATTTCCTGCCAATCTCAGCCTATGTGACAGATGTCAGTGCATGCGAGTGCATATCAGACTTCCTCTGCTTACCATCTGCTCAGCAAGGACTTTGGTGGGCACAATGATGAAAGCCATGCCGCGTTCCCCACGCGCCTTCGCAGCAATCAACGGAGCAAAGAGGACGATGCTCTTCCCGCGTCCAGTGGCAATGACAAGAAATACATCTTTTCCGAGGCTGAGATCCAGGCCGTGCTTCAACTGATGCTCGTACAGCGAGCTCAGGCCGCAGGCATCTTTCAAGACGATTCCGAGCCATTCCTTAGAGTTTACAGGGGGATTTTCGAGCAGTGGATCGGCGGGGACAGCAGGAACCGACATTCACAAGCGCCGACTCGCCCGGGAGCGGCGTTGGACTGTAGACGAGGAGCAAGGTGCGTCGGCGCGACGAGACAGCAGCTGACAGCTCAGATCACGCATAAACAAGGGCACGTGCAATCATATATTTCAAACTCCGAGGCAGTCCTACCGCTTGGCACCATATGACGCCTAGACTAGGTCTCGGTGACCTTCTGTGCAGACATTCCAGAAACCTGTGCATCTGGTGTTCTAACGCAGTGAGAGATCCCAGATTTCTTAGTTTTGCAGCCCATGTGCAGATGACCAATGGGCACTATGTAGGCAACTCAGCAAGTAACACAGGCTTAATGCAGACAGAGACAACAACAATGAGTCTCAGTCAGTTACAAAAGGTAAAGTAACTCTATCAGTTTACCTGTAGACAGAGACAAGAACAATTAGTCTACAGGTATCATAAGTATAGTGCAGAACACTGTTGCATGTCAGTCAGTTACTGAATCACAGCAGGTGCTGATATTCAAGTTATCCTTGTCAGGGGCTGATGAGTTGATCTGAGTCCCAGCTTGGACTGATCACTCTCTCAGCTGTTACAGCCTGGGGAGGGTACTGGGAGGTGGCTGTGGTATGGAATGTTCATAAGATGCCTTGCGTAGCTGGTCGCACAGAGTGTTTGCCTCAATATTGATCATCAGTCCTTGAAGGCCTCATAAGCTTTGGGCAAGGGGACACCTGTGTTGTAGAGATGGCTTGCAATCTTGCTGCTGAGTCTGCATTCAAGGACCTCAATCAGGATGTTGTTGAAGCTTGTTTGTATTAGCAACTATCACAGTATGTAGACATGACATCATAAGTAGTATTCTTAGACTACTTTGGCTCGCTCCACAATGACCTCATACCTGACCTCATTATTGCGTCATCCATTACTCATTGACAAGCGTTGACACGCCCTGGCTTCGTAAGCGATCAGTGTGGCACTGCTGCATTAAGGTGCACAGCATTTGGTGGCGGATTTATCTCTCGGCTTGCTGGCCACACGGCTGCACGCTGCCCAGAGTATTTGCTAGTTCTTTCTATGTTTCAGATTGGCATCATTGGGGAATTATTTTACCAAACAGACACATCCATATGGGACCAATAAGGTGAAACATGTATTTTATAGACTTACATGTGGAACAGGCACTTTTGGGATGCTTGGAGCGCTTCTTACCGGGTAGTTAGGTGTTTTTCAGGGACCCAATATGTTCTTTATCAATTCAAGACTTTACTATAAGTAGCTACGGTATATTCCTTCAAAAACAAGTTCTCTTCACCCCAAAAACCAAGTGCTCTATTTCAGCATCTAAAAATTCAGCCTCTCTTCGCCGTCTATATTGTCTCCATTGCCTCCATTGTCTCCGTTGCCTCCACCGTCTCCGTTGCCTCTGTTGCCCTCACCGTTGCCCGCCGCCTTTTTATACCATATTCCCGAGTCCTGATCCTTGTTAGGACACCCTCGCAAAACAACAACCCTTGCGGCTGTCTGTTGAGCAGCACTGTTGATTATATTCACACCCCACCTCTCCGGTTGATTTTCGTGCTCACACCCGCCGCAGGCGTGTCATTTTGGAGCCCACCGCGAGGGGTTTCCATTTAAACATTGCGTCAGGCTCGGACTGTAGTCTTTGCCCAAATTCCCACCGAAATTTACGACTCAAGTTCCGGGATATCTTTCAGAACCCACTGAATCTCAACAACACTTCACACCACTCTGACTCCTCTGCTGACGACTTGCTCGTACCAGTACCACATCTCCTCTCACATCACTTTCATTTGGATCCTGTTGATCCAGATTCACCTACCCTCGCCCATTTTATAGTAACAACGTCGTCATCAGCGTCGCCATCCTCCTCCTCCTCCTCCTCTTTGTCCCAGTCGTCCTCCGTTTTGTCCCATTTTCCCCTCCGCCCCATTTCCCCAACTCCTCCAGTCATGGCAGCAAATGCAACTATGCCAGCTCGAGGTGCCCGTGGCGCTCCCGAATTCGATTCCAAGCAGCCTAGGGAGCTGCCCCGTTATTTCTCCGATTTGGAATTCCACTTCACTGCAGCAAATATCACAGATCCGCAGGAAAAGAAGAGGCAGGCAATACGCTACCTGTCATTCGAGGACGCCAAGCTGTGGGAATCCCTTGATTCTTTTTCCCCTGGCATTGGCTACGATGCGTTCAAGGCAGCCGTTGCAAAGCTATACCCTAGGACCGACGCCGACCGCCGCTACGCACTTGCTGATCTCCACACACTAATTGGGGAGTACGCTAGCATTGGAATTCTCTCGCGTGCTGACTACAGTGAATTCTACCGAAAATTCCTTGTTATCACCAAGTTCCTCGTCGCAAAAGGGCGTCTTTCTGCTGCAGAGCAGTCTCAATCGTTTCGTCGTGCTATCTCACCCCCTACGCTCTGGAACCACGTACACCAGTGCCTGCAGATCAAGAAACCTGATGTGCATCCCGACGACCCGTACGACCTTGCAGATTTGAATGAGGCAATGGAATTCGTCCTCGCCGACTCATCCTACGGTTCTGCAGCTCCTCCGTCCGCGCTTTTGTCGCCTACGCCCGTGAAAAAGGAGTCGGCAGATCCAGGAATCTCGCAATTGATTGAGTCAATGAATGGCTTGATGAAAGTTCTGGCAGCTCAGGCTGCAGTCACGGCTCAAGCTGTTGCGGCTCAACAATCTACTCGACCACCTCCCCCCACAATTCCTGTCAATTCGACTCCTCGGGATCTCAGCTGCAGTTATTGCAGCGAACATGGGCATTTCATCATTCGGTGCCCTCATGTGGATGAAGATATTCAATCTGGGAAGTGTAAACGCAACACGGACGGGCAGGTCGTCCTGCCGAGCGGCACTTATATTCCACGGCGCATCATGGGCGTCAATTTACGAGCTCGGTTTGATGAATATCACCGCCAGAACCCCGGACAAATGGCCGCTCAAAATATGGTTGAAGTCTCGACTCATTTCTTGACTTCCAATCCAGCAGCACCGGAGGTATCCACTTTTGCCCTTTCGGATGCTGAGAGAATCCAGTCTCTCGAGCGCGAGATCCTGGCGATGCGCACTCGATCCCAGGCACGTGCTGCACTGGATCGGTCTGGGGACCGCGTCGAAGCCCCGGAACGAGTGGTTCGACCTGCGGCTCAATCTACACCTGCCCCAGCTCGTGTGCCGGCCCCAGCTCCGGCTTCCCCTCCCGCTTCTGTTTCCCACCCGCCAGCTGCTGTTCCCGTCGCTGCGCCTGAACATCCCTACATAAAAGTAAGAGATGCCGCATATGCTCCCCCTTGCGATCATAACGTTGGCGCTTGAGTCCCAGTTGCTCCCGCCAAGAAAACTGATCCTGCGTACCGTTCTGTGGCGCCGGTTTATGATTCAAAGCACGAAGACACTGTTTTTGGCCAAATTCTTGGGACTAAGGTCGAAAACTCAATCGAAGAGATCCTTTCGATCTCTCCTGGTGTACGGGCACGTATGAGTAACGCCACTACCAGCTGCCGCGTTCCTCCGACCTCTGGTGCCAATTCTAAAACTCCGGCGGTCTCAACCCACATCTACGACGATTTCTCGCATAGAAACATGTCCGACAGCGCGGCAATCAAGCCTCTGGACGCCCAGGCATCTAACAATGCGCGAGACGCCGCATTTCTCGATTCAATGCCTGCTGCGTATGCAAATTCGACTTTGCCACCTGATGCAACTGTTATTCCAGACTATTACGAGACGATGATCAACTCGGGCGCCTCTGTGGACGATCTGGTGGTCTCCCTCGAATCTTCGGCGATCCGCTCGGTTCTCCCCGTGGTAGACCACCGTCTAAGGGTCGAGTCCATGGTTGATGGTGGCTCTCAGATAATTGCCATGTCTGAGGCTGTGTGCCACCAATTGGGTCTTTCATACGATCCTACCATTGTTCTTCGCATGCAGTCAGCAAATGGATCCGTTTCTCCGTCCCTTGGCCTTGCCTGGAACGTTCCGTTTGCATTTGATGATATCACGCTCTACCTGCAAGTCCACGTCGTCCGAAAACCGGCCTACGACATTTTATTGGGCCGTCCTTTTGATGTTCTAACGGAGAGCATTGTCCGCAATTTTGCCAACAAAAACCAGACTATCACCATCCGGGATCCCAACACAGGCAAGATTGCAACAATTGCTACGGTGCCTCGAGGCTCTCGCCCTCGAATCCAGGATTTTCCGTCCTCAAGGATTTGATCCCTGATCAAGGAGAGACCGCATTTATTATTATACCCAATCCCCTTGATCCTCAAGATTTTATGATCGAATCATTGGCTCAGCTTCCCTCAAACTATTCCTCTACTGATCTTACTTTTCTTTATCTTCCAGGTTCCACTAATCTGGGCTTGTATTTGGATACGGTGAAATGCTGAGGGCGTGCTCACAAGTGAATCTACTATGAAAGTAAACCCAAATATAAACACGTTCACACTCCTCGTAATCAGCTTCTCAGTGTGTGAAAGATGCGAGGGCTTCGGGGTGGACAGAGCACCAGTATCACAACTCTCAATAGACGCAGATCCAATAGTCGCGGAGACGGAGTCGACAACAAGGATATATATGTAGCAAACAATGGTATCTCAACCAATATCTTCTATACGAGCACAACCAACACTAATACAATCCACAACCAACGATATAACAAGTCAGAACTTAATACGAAGTATTAAGATCCCTTGTAGCGACAGCGTCCAGATGGTGACGCAAAGCCCAAATATCAAGTCGACGCACTGCCAACTGACACAACCAAAAGTACTGAGTCGACGCACTGCCAACTAGTAAACCAAAATGCCACGTCGACGCACTGCCAACTAACAGCCAATATCCAATGTCCAAAACCCGAGCACAACTTGTCGACGCACTGCCAAGCAAGAAGTGTGGAACCAAAGTTCTCAAGTCGACGCACTGCCAACTGACCAAAACAACCCGAGCACAACTAGTCGACGCACTGCCAAGCTAGAGGTGTGGAACGATCTCAACAAAGCCCTAAGGCGACGACACTAAATGCCGCGACAATACCAGATGCGGCGAATCCGACTTTCTGATATCTCAACTCAAACTCAAATCACAGTAGCTACAAGTGCTCAGGGAGCAACTCGTCGCGACCGGGCAGGGATGGCAGAACTTCTTAGGGTGGAATCACGCGGCACGCAAATTGTACAAAACAATCTGAAATGATAGTGATTCACAGTCCGGGGGAAAGCTCCTTAATACAAAGAGACGACGTGCTACTTATACTGTCTACGACGCTGCTTAGTAAAGTCCTGTACAACTGCATAGTAGCTACGCTATCTAAGATCGGTTGCCTTTTAGGGTAATTGAAAAGTTGAACGATCGGACAGGTCCTGAGTGATCAGGACCCCGCCCCATAGTCCATATGATACTTTTGATGTGGGTCAACCCACCGCGTCATACTTTTGGAATACGACGTGCTGGATTGGCCAACGGGTATGTCTTGGCATGTGAGACCAACGTGGGCGCCCCAAGAAGCCGCATGGCCCTAGGCACGCCAGTCGTCCCCCACATGGTTCGGCTCACGGATCTAGCCGTGTCGATTTCTAGTGTGTTTGGGTGTTGACGCGAATCGCCGTGGCACTTGGGAGTGTCACCGCGACGCGTCCTCAATGTCCCGTGATCGAATGGATCCTGACATGTGACAAGTCGTCGTCGTGGCATGATCTGAGGAAACGTCCAACTCAGAACCGGGAGTTGCCGCGACAAGATGGTTTAAGTCTCGTAACGCCAAGTCCTGTCCAGTAGTAGTTCTATTATTGAGAACGTCGCGCATTGCTCAGCCCTTCAGCCCAAGTTCCCATCTGCAGAGAATGACCCTTTTCGAGAAGTCGACGCAACGACAGATCCCTTTTTGGGGGAATGGTCGCGGTCCAAGCGTTCGTCACTAATGGCCCTGAGCCTGGTGTAGACTCATAAGACCAATTCCACAGTAGTGATCTGACTGCCTTGCTATCATCGACACTATCCACAGTCGTCGACTGGGCAGTAGACTCTTAAGTCCTACTGAGCGCAACACTGTCAACCGCGACACGATACACCGAGTGGTTCAAGAGTAAACTCTGTAAAAGCGCAAAAATACGCCCTTACAGAGTTGGTGCAGAGCGCATCTGGTAGCCAGCCTATCATCTCCCAGGAACACTAATTTTGACCTCCTGGTCAATCCCGCGACAGTCTCACTGCGTCAGGTCTAAGTCCAACAGTCGACGTCTCATTCATTTATTATTAAAGCCGCGGAGACATAGAGTTATGTTCCCACGTCTTATTCATTTGGTTGTTCGGTTCCTTCCGTGATTTGCCGCGATCAAACTTCTTCCGGCATGTTCACCATATAAATGCCCTCAATTTTCAGGGTCGAGAGTCTCCCTAGTACGAGACACTCTTGCCTTTCGACCACCATGTCCGCGCCCGACCAGAGCCCCCGCCCCCAAGACACCAACCGTGAGTGACGCCCAAGACGGTTACCGCAACTTTTCAACCACGCTAACCATCCATCAGCCGTCACCGAATCAGCTGTCCCGGGAGCAAACCTGCCTGCCATCGACTGGCGGCAGTTCATGCCATCCGTCAAGGTCTCTCCCATGGCTTGTCGATCCAACTCACCACCTGCCTAGCCCCGAGGCCTACAACCAGATGTTGCGGCAGATGGCCGTCGACGTCCGCCAGATTCAGCAGGTGAGCTCCGTTCTAAGCCCGCTGGAGCGAGCAGTCACGGTGATCAATGATTGCCGTGCCTGTTCGCTTTGGCCTTCCATTCTTTTCACTAACGTAAGGGCTAGCCGGCGTCTACGCCCTTGACCACCAACGCTCCAGTCGAGGAGTCGTCGCCACCGAAGAAACGCAAGCGAGTCGTCGAGCCTGTACGTATACTCTATTTTGTTCGTTTCACTATGTTCTGATCGACTCCCAGGCGGCTCCAACCGAACAAGTCGCCGCCCCTTCGTCGTCCCGGCCTGCCAAGCAGAAGGGGAAGGGTGACGGCTCCAAGCTGCAGGCCCCTGCCGCCGTCGCGGGCAGCAAGGTCGCCGTCGCCAAGAAGTCGAGCGAGAAGTCGCAGGGGAAGCGACCCAAGGCGACTCCTGCAAAGGAGCCCAAGGCGTCGTCCCACGCGCCTACTCGTAAGTGGCTCTTTCCTTTCATTCACCAGAGTCGCGGGTACTGACTTGTCGTAGCCGCTACCTCGGTCCCTATTCCACAGGGGTCACCTCCCAAGCGCGTCCACAAGAAGACGCACGCAGGTGTGTGATCCTATGTCTTATTTCATTGATCTTTAGACTAACCACTTGGTCCCTCCCAGCCCGGATCCAAGCACAGCCTGTGCAGCCTGAGTCCCTCAGCGATGAGGAAGCCGCCGCCGTCGCTGACACTGCGATGGATGTCGACGACGAGGGGGTCCAGGAGGGAGACGCGTCCTCGGCCGACGAGCTGGCCCTTCAGGTAAGTGACCCAGTTCGTCGATCGCGGTTCCTTCGTCTCATGGTTGGTTTGTTTTTGACAGGGGCCCAAGTCCAAGGGGAAAGCGCGATCGAATCTGAGTGCGTTTTTCCTCTTGTCCCCCTCTGTCGTTTACTCATACTTTTGTAGCCCCGTCCGTCATCGTCATGGACGACACCTCCGAGAGCGGAGAGGAGACCGGCGACTTCGTCGTGGCCAAGAAGCAGGTCAACGAGACCCGCGTCAAGCCCAAGGTAAGCCGACTCCTTTTTCCCAGACCACGCCCCTTAATCCAGCTTTTTAGCCAATCAAGAAGGTCGCGGATGGATCATCCAAGTCGACCAAGTCCGTGCCTCCCCATCCGGTGCCGAAGGTGGAGGCCAGTCGCAAGGCGAGCGCCCCGCGAGCGACGACTACCCCGACCCCAGTGGCTAAGGTGAGACACAGATCTTGGTTCCCAGACGTCGACTAACTCGTTTTTCTTTCTTTTCTAGGTTGCCCAGGCGGCCCCCGCCGCTACCAAGACTCCACGCAGTGAGTTGGGCAGGGTGGCCGCGACCCTTGGTCGCGAGCGGAGTGTTGCGGCGGCCAAGGCCGAGCTCAAGGCCCAGAAGGCAGAAAAGTCCGTTGCGGCGGCCAAGAAGAAATCTGACTCGGTGAGTCGCGACTTGTCTTGTCGTCGACTTCTTTACTGACTTGACTGTTTCTAGACTCCCGCGAAGGCGTCGGCTCCCACGCCCCGAGCTCCGTTCACTCCCGCCGCCTACGACACCGAGGCGCTCCTTTCGGTGGCACGCCAAGGGTTCGCGGGGAAGTTGGAGAGGGCCGGCGTCGAGGTGCCAACCGAC